ACAGACATACACAAGAAAGATTGTTCATTAAACAAAAAATAAAAAATAGCCAAGATGTCAAAAATAGTTCTAATATTCTATATTCATGAATGAGCTACTTTAAAGAAATAAACAAATGAATAAATTATACCCATATACAACAACATAGAAAAAAATCTTACAAACATAATATCAGGTGAAATAATAAAGAAATGACATAATATGTGCTTTAAAATTCTATTTGCACATGGCACCAGTGGCTTATGCCTATAATCCTAGCTACTTGGGAGACTGAGAGCTGGAGAACTGAGGTTCAAGGCCAGCCCAAGAAAGTAGTTTGCAAGACCCCATCTCCAAAATAATCACAGCAAAATGGACTGGAGGTGTAGCTCAAAAGGTAGATCACCTGCTTTGCAAGAATGAAATCCTGACTTAAAACCCCAGCCCCACCAAAAACATTAAGTTCAACATAGGCAAACTTAACCTATCTGGTGCAAAGAAATGTTTACCATTATAGTCAAGAAAGTGATTACCTTTGGGAAGCTAGAATGTTTGTGATAGGATAGAAATCAAAAAAGGACTTCTGGGATGCCAAAAATATTCTAGTTCTTTGAATTACATTATTTTTGACTTATAAATATCTGTTAATCACACTTATGTGCTTAATCACTTTTCAGTAAGTATGTTATACTTCATGTCCAAAATGTTGAAACACAGTGATAACTAGGAAAAGAAGCTACACATTATTAGAAACATACATTAGCTACATTCTAATAGCTATATTAGAATTTCCAAATTAGAAGACAGAAAGTAATAAATATTTATTTAATCAAATTACAAAAACCAGAGAAAAAGAAGAGGGAACAGCAACACATAAAAACAAATAAATGTTGAGTGAAATGGAAGAAATGCAATCAAGCATACCATACATTGTATTAAACTTGAATGATTTAAATTCTGCAACAAAAAGGCATTATTATAAGTTTAAAAATAATATACAATGATATGTTTTACCAAGAAATGTACTTAATGTATTGAATAAATTTGAAAATATAGTTAGACAGCTATCCAAGCAAATTTTAGAATACTGGCTTTGTTGACATTAATAGCAAGTTCTTTGGAATTTAAAATTAAAATAAACAAACAGGTTAGATAGGTATTATGCAATGATTACAACAATGGATGAACATCTGTTTTGTCTTCCCATGATAAACAATAAGAAAACTATACAAAATATATAATGGAACTGTTTTCAAGAATATATAAGGAATGGAGAGACCACAAATGAGATGAATTCTAAGATTCCCCTCATCTCCCTCTCTGGGGGCAATTTGTAGAATGCAATAGAGAGAGACAAAGAGAGAGAGAGAGAGAGACCAGTGGCCTAACTACATTGAGGAAGCAGAAGTCAAAGTTTGGAAAAGCTCAGGAAAACAGAATTTGCAGGGAAGAATATGGGAAGTACACAGAGAAAACTCTGAAGAATACCAGAGGAGTCTTCTCCAATCTTCAGTTGAATACTAATATGCACAAACACTGGATGACAATCCACAAATTAAGAGAAAGAACCACTGAAGTGAGTAAGCCAAGTGGTATTTAGACTTTGCACAGGGCTAGAAATAGTTCACACTACCCTGAAAAGAGGGACTTCTTAAGAAAGACAGAGAATTAGGTGTCCTTGGGAGAATATTGCATTAATAGTAGGCCAAATTAGTGCTATAATAAAACTTGCCTCACACATGTGCTAACAAAGCTTAAAACTGAAACTTGAAAGGACCAAAATGGTCTCAAGATGTCATGCCAGAATAAAGCTTAATGTACTTTAAAGCAGTTTCTCAACAGCAGCACTGTTTTGAACTGGGCAAATATTTTCTGTAAAGGGATAGTCTGTGTATTATAAGATGTTTGGCAGAAATTGTAGGATATTTAGTACTGGAATCACTATCTCAGTTGTAACAACCAAAAATGTGTTCAGGCATTGTCAAATTATTTCCTGGGGTGGGCGTGGAGGTGGAAACTGTCCCTGATTGAGAACCACTGCTTTAAAGGAAATCACACACACACACACACACACACACACTCTCTCTCTCTCTCTCTCTCTCTCTCTCTCTCTCACACTCACTCCAGTGTAAAATTTGCAATGTATACCATCTGATCAAAAATTACCAGTCATGCAAAGAAGAAAATAAACCTCACAGAGGAAGAAAAATTAATCAAAAGAAGCAAATGAATAACAAAAATGTTCAAAAAATGTTAAAATATGTATTCTAAATATATTTATATACTCAGGAATAGAAAAAAGATGAGCATTGTGTGGAGATACATGAAAATATTAAGACCCAATGGGACTCTTATACAAATAGAAACTGCACTATTTGAAATAAAAATATACTGGCGAAGATCAACAGATATGATAATGCAAAAAGAAATACTGCCGAACTTGAGAACCTTGAAAATATACCAATAAAGGCTATCCAAATTGAGGTATAGAGGAAAATAAATGACACAAAAATGAACACTGCTTTGATGACCTGTGAGACAAAAATCAAACAGTCCAACATATGTATAATTGGAGTCACAGAAAGGATGGGAGGGAAGAAAAACTTTTGAAGTTTGAAGAAATATGGTTGAATTTTTTCCAAATTTGATGAAAATAGTAAATCCACACATTCAAGAATATCAACAAACCCTAAAGAGACTAACACAAAGAAAATGAGACTAAGGTACATAACAATCAATTTGCAAACATCACTAATAAAAAAAGACATTTTTAACAGTAATCATGGGAAGTGGGGGAGAAGAGAAGATGCTTACACAAAGGAACAAGGAAAGAACGATAGCAATCCTTTCACCCAAAAGTATGCAAGCAAAGAGACAATGGAATAATGCCTTTATAAAAAACCTGTCAAATATAACCAGTGAAAATTTTTTTTTCAAAAATGAGAAAGACTTTTCCCAGAGAAATCTTAGAAAAGTCATTGCCAGAACACATTCAATTCAAGAAAGAGTAAAGAAATTCAAGTCAAAAGAAAATAACAAAAAAAATGGAAATCTTAAGTTTACAAAAAGAATGGACTTCACTGAAAAATTCCTAATGTGAGAAAATGCTGGCACACACGGAACACTGAGTATTTATTAAATGAATTTAACCAACGAATTGTTATATTTTTTCTGGTGCTGGGGGTGGATCCCAGGGCACTTTGTTAAGTACAGGTTCTACCACCGAGCCACATTGCCAACCCAATGAATTTCATTATAAGGATTGGAAAGATCTTTCTAACTAAACTTGAAGACCTTGAAATCCATCAAAGAAAAAAACAGAAACACTTTAATACATATATTATGTATAAAATAACACTTTTAAACACTTCCTTATGGCAAAATATACTATAAACAAATTGATGTAAATTATATATGAGGAAAATACATTTGTGATGTAGTTACGAGATGAGCAGTTAGTATTTATATTGTATGGAGGACTTTATAAAATTAAAAACCACAAAAAATCTATTTTCAATACAAAAAAATGGGCAAATAGCTTAATTGATAAATAAGAAAATCAAGTCCAAGAGAGCAAAACAAATATGCTCAAATCCACCGTGGTACATAGGAATTTAAAGTTAAAGTAACAGTGATACATCATTTTATGGACATCACATTGGCAAAAAGTTAGACCTCTATTGCTTCTGGAGATAAAAGGGAAAAGATGCTCATAATTAGCTGGTAGAAGTTTAAGGTACTACAAAACTCGTGGAAAAGAAATCTAGCAACATAGTTTAAAATGAAAATTACTAATATCTTTGGGGGGCGGTATTAGGGTTGTGAACTCAGAATCTTGCACTTGCCTAGCACTCTACCATTTGAGCCATGTCTCCAGCCCACTGTGCTTTAGTTTATTTTTCAAGTAGGGTCTTAAGTTTTTGCCCTAGGTAGATCTTGGACTGCAATCCCCTCTACCTCCGCCTGCTGTGTGCCACCACACAAGTTTTTTTTTTTATCGTTTTTACATTTACTTACATGTATATACCTCATTTGGGTCACCCCCCACCCCAAGTTTGTTTTTTGAGATAAGGTCTCACTAATTTTGCCCAGGTTGGCCTTGAACTTGATCCTTCCATCTCTGTCACAACAAAGCTGAGAACACAGACATGCACCATCATTTCCAGCATTTATATACTTTTTTGTGCATCAGTTCCACATGTGAGGATCAATCTCATAGAAATAAAAGCACTAATATTTTAGGAAATACACGAAATGATACAACATGCTCTTTTACAGGTAAAACAAAGTGAAACACACTCACAAATAAGAATAATTATATAATAGTATATCTGCACTATGGAATACTACACAGATATTAAAAGTATCAGATTTTCAGAGTTTATGCCTGAAAGACATAAAATGTACAATATATATTAAAATTTTCAAATGGAACAATAACAAAAAACTCACTAGGTGTATTATATGTATGAGTAATTATCTAAGTACAAATGAAAAGGTGAAAAGAAAATCAAAAACTGCTTCTTATGGGATACCTGAAAATCAAACACATATGTTCTTTCCTAGAGGAAAACCAAAGAGGGACCAACGAGAAGAAATCATTTTAAATAAAGAAATAGTTACTGCTAAAAATTATAAATAATTTAAAACATGTATAAATTAAATTAAAAGACTTTAAAATGTATAATTATGATTAGCCTCATTCAAACAATCTTTTGTAAAATGCTTAAGATCTCACAATGTGTTTTTTTAAATGTTGAATACATTTTAAATTATTAATTATACAACAAAAAATATTTCCAGCCTGAGACATTTTGTTATGATTTCTGAATTGAGATTTCATTATGAAAAATAATCCAATCCAAATGTCAATAGTACAAGTGTTAAAGAAGCTAAGGTCAAGAAAATTAAAATTAAAGAAATAATCTCAGAATTGGAATTAAAGATATCTTTCTTAAACGAGCAACTACTGTTAGGAAGGCTAAATGATTAGTAAACAATTATTTAAAATACAAGCTTACCTCTTTCAGGTATTCTACTTGTCCTTCCCCGTGACATATTTCTTCTGAGGAAGCCTGAGGAAGGCTGGGGCTGAAGGCCATGAGGTCAGTCTTGGGTGGCACCTCCCCAGAGCACACCCTCTGCCGCCTCTGTTGTGAGTATGACCAGCTCCCCACCGCGCTGGAGCACACCAGCATGGGCTTCCCAGGCCCGCACATGCTCCCGGGGGGCGCCGCTGAGCAACGCAGCGCGGTGTACAGCAGCAACGTGAGCACCAGCAGACTGGACACCGCACAGATGGCGATGATCAGATACACGTTGACATTCACCAGCGCTACCTCTGGGTCTGCAGCGTTCACCAATGCCCTCGAAGAGGCCTTTGGTGTCTGACCACTGTCCACCAAAGACACCAGCACGGTGGCAGTGGCCATCAGCGCTGGCTCGCCATGGTCCTTCACCAACACCAACAAGCGCTGGCGCGGCGCATCAGCCTCGTCCAGGGCGCGCGTCGTGCTGATCTCGCCCGTGTACAGCCCCACGCGGAACGGGCTGCGCGCACCACCCGCCGCCGGCTGCAGCTCATAAGACAGCCACGCGTTGTAGCCAGAGTCCGCGTCCACCGCGCGCACCTTCGCCACCACGTGGCCCGCGCCCACTGACCGCGACACCAGCTCGCTCACCGCGCCGCCCACAGCAGGCCCCAGCAGCGCGGGCGCATTGTCGTTCTCATCCAGCACGAACACCTGCAGCGTCACGTTGCTGCCCAGGGGCGGCACGCCAGCGTCGCGCGCGCTCACCTGGAACTGCAGCAGCTCCAGCTCCTCGTGGTCCAGCGGCTGCAGCGCGTACACCTTGCCGCTCTCCGCGTGCACCGACACGTAGCTCGACAGCGCGCGCTCGCCCACCCGCCGCTCCACCAGCGAGTAGGACACCAGCGCGTTCTCCTGCGCGTCCACGTCCCGCGCCGACACCGTGAAGATGTGCGAACCCGGCGCGTTGTTCTCCTTCACGAACACCGTGTACTCGGGCTGCGCGAACGCAGGCGCGTTGTCGTTCACGTCGGCCACCTCCACGGACACGCTGGCCGTGGCCCACAGCGAGGGCGAGCCCCCGTCCCGCGCGGTCACCACCACCTTATAGTCAGATATGGTCTCTCGGTCTAAGGCGCCGTCAAGGACCAGGGAATAGTAATTCTTGAAAGTGGACACTAGCTTGAAGGGAACTTCTGGCTTCAGAGAGCAGGTCACCTGCCCATTGACTCCAGAGTCACGGTCCGACACGCTGATTAGGGCAATGACAGCGCTAGGCTGAGTGTCTTCTCTGACAGGGAGAGACAGAGAAGTGATGGTTACCTCTGGTGCATTATCATTTATATCTAGTACTTCCACCAAAAGGGTACAATGACCTGTCATTGGAATACTTCCTTTGTCAACCGCCTCCACGAATAGTTCATAAAATTTCTTTACTTCGAAATCCAGTTCACCTTTTGTCCTAATTTCTCCACTGCTAGGATTGATATTAAATGCATATACCACTGGAGGCGATACGGGTCTTCTGAAAGAGTACACTATATCTCCATTCGTACCATCATCAGGATCTGTGGCATTTAGTTTGATCACTAGTGTTCCATTAAATGTGTTTTCTGACACTCTAACTTTATAAATCAATTGACCAAATTCTGGGGCATTGTCATTCACATCCAGAACAGTGATCAGTAGCTGAACTGTGCCTGTCAGCTCAGGTTTACCTCCATCAGTGGCAGTCAGTAATAAACTATGTTCCTGAATTTCCTCTCTATCTAATGCTTTCCTTAATACTAGCGACAATGAAGGCGTTTGCTCACGATTGTTTTGTGCCTCCAAAGCGAAATAATCTTCGGGATCTAGTCTGTAGGTCAAGGCGGAGTTTACTCCAATGTCTGCATCGGCTGCGCCATCTAGTGGAAATCTAGTTCCTGGAGGTCTGGATTCTGCAATGAATATACTTTTGTTACTTTCAGGGAACACCGGCGGATTGTCGTTAATGTCCTTCACCTCCACGTCCACATGGAAAACCTGCAGCGGCCTGTCCACGATCACCTCCAGGTGGATGCTGCACTCCGTGCTCCACCCGCACAGCTCCTCCCGGTCGATCCGAGAATTCACAAACAAAATGCCATTCTGCAGATTTACCTCCAGAAGGTCCCCGCGGTCCTTGGTCGCCACCCGGAACAGGCGCGGCACCAGCTCCGCCAGCTCCAGTCCCAGGTCCTGCGCGATGCGGCCCACGAAGGTGCCGTGTTTGGCCTCCTCGGGAACCGAGTAGTGCAGCTGGCCGCTCCCCGCCTCCCAGGCTGCGAGGAGCAGAAGCGAGAGCAGCAGCGGGCGCAGGGACCCTGGGGCTCCTTGCCAAGAAAACAGCATGGTACACTCAAGAGGCTTCAGAGATATCTTCAATATGTAGAATACCTTACCTGACTCCTCCAATGACCCAGTTTTATGACCTCCGACTGCAGGAGAGTTTGCAACGGATTTTCCATCATCTGGCAAGTCTTCTGGAGGAAGAAAGAAGCGGTGGCTTTCCTCAGGGAAACGTCAGAGAAGAGCGACACCATGTGTATGAACGCTTAAGTGTAAGAACGATTCAGCTTTCATGTTTCCCATTGACGTAGGGCTTCATTTTTTTTTTTATCTTCTGACTTCTCATTGAAAATATGTAATTGAAGATTGAATGTTTGTCTTTCCAGAAACAGCAAATCACTGTATTCTGCTCAGCATTGGATGTTACTCGACAATTGGTCAGTGCGTTCCATTTTTTCCACAAATTTATTTTTGTGTAAAACTTCTATGCAGAATTTTAAAAGGACAGCATTCTACATGTGGTTTGGAACAATGGACCTCTAGTTTCATAGTCCTGTAGTCTTTAGTGGTAATGTTCTTTTCCTATAAAACCTTTCAAGACCTCACACAACAACCATTGACTCCAAATGGAAGCAATCACTTAATGAAACAGATGAAGGCGGGAGATATTGGTAAGTAATATACCAGATTTTGAATAAATACAACATGTGTATATGTATAAGCTCCTCCCAATGTGAATGCGAAGCGTGGATGAAGTATTTGTATTTGAAAGGAAATGTCTAGTCAACTGTGTGTGCATATATCTGTTCTGTTTAGATACAACAATGTTCTGAGATTTTTCAGTTCTCTTTGTAGAAAATATATCAAGAACTAACATCCTATGTATTTAATAGATTTAAACTACTATTGATGGATTAAGCATCTCCTTTTCCCTCCCCTATCTTATTTCATCATCAATAGGAGAAACCTTAATCATTTAAATTGACTCTATTTGACAATAGCTAGACAGAGATGTTAATACATCTTTAGCAAGAAGGAGAGGAAGGGAATTTACTTTTATCTGTTGCTATGGATACTAAGCCATAAAGTTCCAGGCCATATAGCACAATGAAATATACAGTGTAGCTCCAGTAATTATCTTACCTATTCTGTGCACAGCTCTGTAGGAAATGACAGTTGGGTTCATTTCTGTACCTCTGCTCTCCTTTCAAATTTTGTGTGAAGTACTCAGTATTCTCTTGCCCTCATAATCCTCTCCTGCTCCATTTCTGACAACATATTTTACTCTTATAATGGGACTGGTCCCTTGATTCTTTCTAATGCATTTTGTCTATCATGCCCTACTCACATTGCTTCACTTACTTCACCTAAACTAGAATACCTTACCAACTATTTACAATATGTTCTTCAGACACCCTAAAGTCACTCATCTACTTTCTTACTCCTCTAACATTCTCTTTAACCTCCAACACACAGTTAACCTACCTATTTTCTCTATTCTTCCTATTGATCTTCTCAGAATAAAGTAGTCGCTTAAACTTAATGATTCTAGAAATTTTGCTCCTTTACCTCGATTAGGCCCTCAAAAGAATTCACACTTTTCCCTCTATAAATTCTCAACCTTATTTCTATCACTTGGATTTCAGGTGATTTTCCCATTGAGACACAAGTTATCAAACATGAACTTAAGTGCCTTCTTCTTAAATCAACACTTTTCCTTATGTTCTCCATTTTTCATTTCCTACTGTTGAAAGAAAAAACTTGTTCCCATATTTGAAGCCAACCCTTTGCTCTGAAAAAAAGTATTTTCCATTCTCCTCTCCTTAACATTTTCCCCTTCATCTTCATTCCCTTGCTGCCTATCTTGTCAGTAGTATCCCCTCTACTTGCTTCTTTCCCTCATACAACAAAAATACTCAAACATTTCTAATTATATATTTAAACATGCTACTTCTAGAAAAAAAGTTGTTGTGCTTGTCTCCTTTATTTCACTTCCAACTCCTAAAATATACTTGTACAATGAATGTTGAATTTTACGTTGGCTAGCTGTAGCCTCTCCTCCTTATGATTTTAAGCCTACAAGGGTAGGTTGATGGTAGCCCTAAAACATATACACACTGCTTACAACTCAGAAGTTGCAAATATTATTTTATATGGCCAAAGTTAATTAAGTATCTTGAGAAAACTTTACCCTGGAGTACTCTAGGTGGGCGCTAAGTGCAATCACATTATGACATAGAGAAGAACATAGGGCAATGTAAACATGAAGACAGAGACTGGAGTGGTGCAGCTAAGCCAAGGAATGCCAACAACCATCAAAAACTAAGACAGGCAAAGAATAGGTTCTCTCTAGAGCCTCTGGAGGGACTACAGCACTTCTGACACCTTGATTTTGGACTTTGTTCTCCAATCTGTGAGAGAATTAAATTTTGTTGTCTTACACTACTCAATTTGTGGTCACTTGCTATAGCAGCCCCAAAAACACACATACCCACATAAATTCTTTTCTTGGATACCTTACTTTTCATTTTTCAGTTTCTTTCTCTTGGTAATTTTATCCTTTAATAGATGATATTTTCCTAAGTGAATTGCTCCCAAATTTACACTTTAATGTCCTCTGAGTTCCAGATTCATATTTCCAAACCTCAAAAGTAGCATGTTCTTAAATGTTCATCTCCATTCCCTGACTTGCAAACATGCACAAACTCTTTTTCCAAGTCTTTTCTGCACAATTGTTTAAGAATAATTTTATCCTCCCAGTTGACCAACTAAAAAAGTGAGTGCCATTTTCAGTTTTTATCTCGCTCTTATCATTTGTATCAAGTCAGTTATCCTCCAGCTGCTTCTACTTTGCTAATGCCTCTTGCACATAGTTCTTTCAATCTATTTCAATTGCCATAACTTAAGTGTTCATTACTTGATGCCTAAATTGTTATGGAAGGTTTTCTACTAGCATTCCTGCCTTCATAATCTCCCCTACTCTAATCATTCAAGTACACATCCAACAAAAAATCTCAACTCATTTATTCTAATTTATTTTCCATCTGTAATACCTTCCTGTTGAAATGTTATCTATCTTTCAAGGCATTCTTGGATAAAATATTGCCAAACCTCTGGAGTTCACCCCCACTTCTGAGATGAGGACATTGCCAAGATAATACATTTTAATACCATATATTTGTTCTCAAATTATTGGTTCAACATATATTATATACCATTTACTAAAAATATATGAGAGAGCAAAAGACTACAAAGTTTATTTCCTTCAATACCAGAGTAAGGAATGGAAGGTTTTATTTCCTGATCAAAGAGAAGCTTCTGAATACATCTGTGGAAGAAAGTTGCAAGATATAAAATGTACTTTAGAAAATTCACCTAGTAATAGGTACAGAGGAATAGGATACTATAATAAGCCCAAGCTAGGTTTGAGGCACTTCTCACTACCTATGTGATTTCATCTTTCTCATCCTTAAAATGATACTTGTTTTTCCTGCCCCCATAGTACTTATTTGATAATTAAGTGAAGTAATTCGATTAAAAACATTAGTAGAGTGTCTTGGAAAGTAATTGGGATCCATAACTATTCTTACATTTTATTTAATCAAAAATGACATTAACTGTGCAAGGTGTCATACTCCTATAATCCCAGCTACTCAAGAGATTAAAGCAGGAGGATCATGAGTTTGAGGTCAGCCTAAGCTACACAAAAAAAATCATTAGGACTGGGGATATAGCTAACTTAAAGATGGAGGGCTTGCATAGCATGCAAAGGTCCTGAGTTCAATTCCCAACACTGTAAAAACAATGCCACTAATTATAAGATGTGCCATTATTTATGTGCCACCAAGAAAGAAAAACAGACAAATATATTATTATAAGCCTTCAATTATATGGCACATCTTGATTTAAATTACGTTTAAATATTTTAAATTGATAAATAACTTTACTACATTTTATGTACATAAAGATAGTACAATGGTCATCTCACTTGAAAAACCAAAGATCTACTTGAGAGTCAGAGACAGGAGGATCTAGATTTGAGGCCAGCCCAAGCTAAGATACCACAAGACCCTATCAGAAAATAAAAGCAAAAGGAAGTACTGGAAGCATGGCTCAAGTGGTAGAGCACAATTGAGCTCCACAGTTCAATCCATAATATCTGAGGGTTGGAGAAACCTCAGTGTGAAGATTGACAAAATTATTCATGTCAGAATCAAAGACATGTCATTTTTACTATTATTCTAATACATGGAGTATAATGTTGTTATGTTATCTGGATTGTATTGGTTATAAGGAGGCTATTTTAACAGTCTTAGCACATGAGGAACAATTAATCTAGTTAAAGGTATCTGGGAACTCTTTGAGGTATTATTGTAATTAGTCTTTGATCCTGAAATTATAACCGAATTAAAAATAAGTTGAAGAGTTATGGAACACGTGATCAGTTTTTAATCTAGACATACTATCATTTTTCAAAGCTAATCACTCATAGACAGCAAGAAAAAGAGGAGAGCAGGAAATTTTCAACTGTAGTGATCCAGGGCCTCCATTAATATCTACATAACTCATTCATTAATGAAGGATAACATATGAAAGTTCAAAATTAAAAAAATGACCAAACCAGAAACCTGGAAAATCAGTGGTTTAAAGAATATTGTTATGAAGAAAAGTAAGAAAAACAGAAAATTGTTATCAGTTAAAACAACGGTATTAAGAGAAAAAAAACATGTCAATGATTTCAACGACTTACTTCGCTGGAGGGATTTAAACAATCTTCTTGAGGCTGCTGAAGATTGGGGCTGAAAGACATGAGGTCAGTCTTGGGTGGCACCTCCCCAGAGCACACCCTATGCCTCCTCTGCTGTGAGTACGACCAGCTCCCCACCGCGCTGGAGCACACCAGCATGGGCTTCCCAGGCCCGCACATGCTCCCGGGGGGCGCCGCTGAGCAACGCAGCGCGGTGTACAGCAGCAACGTGAGCACCAGCAGACTGGACACCGCACAGATGGCGATGATCAGATACACGTTGACATTCACCAGCGCTACCTCTGGGTCTGCAGCGTTCACCAATGCCCTCGAAGAGGCCTTTGGTGTCTGACCACCGTCCACCAAAGACACCAGCACGGTGGCAGTGGCCATCAGCGCTGGCTCGCCATGGTCCTTCACCAACACCAACAAGCGCTGGCGCGGCGCATCAGCCTCGTCCAGGGCGCGCGTCGTGCTGATCTCGCCCGTGTACAGCCCCACGCGGAACGGGCTGCGCGCACCACCCGCCGCCGGCTGCAGCTCATAAGACAGCCACGCGTTGTAGCCAGAGTCCGCGTCCACCGCGCGCACCTTCGCCACCACGTGGCCCGCGCCCACTGACCGCGACACCAGCTCGCTCACCGCGCCGCCCACAGCAGGCCCCAGCAGCGCGGGCGCATTGTCGTTCTCATCCAGCACGAACACCTGCAGCGTCACGTTGCTGCCCAGGGGCGGCACGCCAGCGTCGCGCGCGCTCACCTGGAACTGCAGCAGCTCCAGCTCCTCGTGGTCCAGCGGCTGCAGCGCGTACACCTTGCCGCTCTCCGCGTGCACCGACACGTAGCTCGACAGCGCGCGCTCGCCCACCCGCCGCTCCACCAGCGAGTAGGACACCAGCGCGTTCTCCTGCGCGTCCACGTCCCGCGCCGACACCGTGAAGATGTGCGAACCCGGCGCGTTGTTCTCCTTCACGAACACCGTGTACTCGGGCTGCGCGAACGCAGGCGCGTTGTCGTTCACGTCGGCCACCTCCACGGACACGCTGGCCGTGGCCCACAGCGAGGGCGAGCCCCCGTCCCGCGCGGTCACCACCACCTTATAGTCAGATATGGTCTCTCGGTCCAGGCGCCGTCAAGGACCAGGAATAGTAATTCTTGAAAGTGGACACCAGCTTGAAAGGTACGTGGGGTGTCAGGGAGCAGGACACCTGCCCGTTGGAGCCAGAGTCACAATCAGACACACTAATCACTGCAATAACGGTGCTCACCTGAGCATCCTCTCGCACAGGGAGTGACATCGAAGTAATCTTTATCTCTGGTATGTTGTCATTTGTGTCCAGAACTTCCACCAGGACTGTGCTGTGACCTACCATGGAAGGAATCCCTTTATCAATGGCGTTAACTTGAATTTCATAAGCATGATTTTCTTCAAAGTCCAATTTACCATATATTCTAATTTCACCTGTGTCTGGATTTATTGAAAACATACATTTCTCACTCGTTGGCAAAATCAGCCTGATTCCATAGGAAATTTCTCTATTCGGGCCTTCGTCTCGATCAGAAGCGTTTAGTTGAATTACTCTCGTGTCGTTTTCGACATTTTCAAACAACACCACTTTGTAGCTAGGCTTATCAAACTCAGGTGCATTGTCATTCACATCCAGAATTGTTACTTGAATTTGAGCAGACCCTGTTAGCTCTGGTTTACCGCCATCGATGACCATCAGCAATAAGTTAAAGTGTGGTGTTTCCTCTCTGTCCAATAACTTCCGAAGAATTAATACAGGCAATATACGTCTATCTTTTTTGGTCACTATTTTAAGCGCAAAATGCTCATTTAGACTTAACATATAGGTCAGAAGAGAATTTATGCCGACATCCGCGTCAGAAGCGCCCTCTAGGGGAAACTGAGTGTCCAGAGGCGCAGATTCAGAAACAAGTACCTTTTGTTCTTTCTCTCTGAACAAGGGTGGGTTGTCGTTAATGTCCTTCACCTCCACCTCCACATGGAAAACCTGCAGCGGCCTGTCCACGATCACCTCCAGGTGGATGCTGCACTCCGTGCTCTGCCCGCACAGCTCCTCCCGGTCGATCCGAGAATTCACAAACAAAATGCCATTCTGCAGATTTACCTCCAGAAGGTCCCCGCGGTCCTTGGTCGCCACCCGGAACAGGCGCGGCACCAGCTCCGCCAGCTCCAGTCCCAGGTCCTGCGCGATGCGGCCCACGAAGGTGCCGTGTTTGGCCTCCTCGGGGACCGAATAGTGCAGCTGGCCGCTCCCCGCCTCCCAGGAAGCAAAGAAGACCAGAAGCGAGAGCAGCAGGCGCCAGGATCCAGGGCCTCTTCGCCAGACAAACACCATTGCAGATAGAGGACTTCCGTTGTGGAACTGTCAGTTTTAAGGGAGCGCTCGCATGAGATCTTTTGTGAGCAATCTACCGTTGGTAAGTATTTATTTAGTGAGTCTTTATCTAGAGTTCCGGTCAATATGGAGTCGATCCTGTTCTGTGAATGGTTGGAATCTGGGTGCAGAGGCAAAATTTTCCTTTTCACTTTTTGAGTGTATAGCGACATCATGTGACTGATTGTGTTAATACAAGAAAGAGCCTTAAGTTCTTTTTGGATTCACCATTTCTTGGGTCACTCTAATTCAACTTTTGGATATTTTCATTAATTATTTCTGGATGCTATTTAGTTAATAGATAGCATACTAGCAACAAAAAAATACTCATTATTTTGTGGTTGAAATAAGGTGTGATAGAAGCTATTCTTTAGCTCTTCTGGAGAACAATATAAAGAATAGTATACATCACTCCTGCCCTTTTATGACTTACAATTCACAGTGTTTTGATAACTTCTGTTCTTCACACCCCTTTCTTGTAAGACATTTGGAAAAAATCAAGAAGTCCATCATCTAGTAAAAGAAGCTAAAATATTTCTATTAACTAAACATTTTATGTACATAAATTGTTTCAGTCATAAATCTAGATGAATTAGGCTTCATCTTAAATACAGAAGGTGGCATTGTTTTTGGTTCCTTGATGCTTAAATATGATGGCTTTTCATAGCAATGGCTCTCAGTCCCATAACATGCTAAAGCAAAGCTCAGGTGCAGATTTTAGAAAGTTTTGCTCTGGCAAGATTAAAGTATTTTCATGTTGAGTCAAACCCTCAAATTTCACAACATTCTAATATGACAATGGAATACTACCTAAAAGGATGTCTTGAAGTATTTTGTAGTGTAATTTCACGACTAAATGCAAAAGATACAGAACTTTTATATTGCTAAATCTTTCCCTACAATTCAGTTAGTAGTTACTTAGAATATATTTCTCTTCAGAAAATCAGAATGGTATTATGATGCAAGGGGAAATCAAAAGACCTTTCATAATTTTATTCAGTAATTCAAGACTTCCTTATAAACAAATACAATTAAGAACCTGCAAGTCAATGTGAACAAGTAAATATGATTTTATAAGTTCATTATATCCAAATCAAAATCTTCTAGCCAATAATTTGTTGCCATCCTTTTACAGATAATAACACAGCAAACAGAGATGAATGAGACATTTATGCAACCAGTAAAAAGCAATCAAGAATGGTTTCACAAGTGTAAGTTAAATCAGTTTTACAATGGGCTCTCAGCTGATCAAACCACTTGAAGTTTGATGCTATCACACTATTTTACATTATTTAATGTCACCATCAAGTTTTTTTCATTTCCTATTTCCTATTTTCAAATGTATCAATCTACCATGGTTGCTAAGGAACTTTAATGAAAAAATAGCATGTTGCTTGTGGTCCTAACACACCGTTAAAGCAGATAAGAAAACTATGTTTTGCTTTAATACTTGACTGAACTAGAAAATATATTGGAATTATAATATTATACCAAAGAATGTAGTCATAACACTAAGAATAAGCATAAAATGTACTAAATCTGTAAAAGTTAGTTTTACTTGGAATTACCTAAATTGTTTTTTTGGCTATTTATATGATATTAAAGTAATGATTTATAAACATTTTTATTTTTGTGGTACTGAGATTTGAACTCAGGGTCTACACCTTGAGCCACTCCACCAGCCTTTGTGTGTGTGTGTGTGTGTGTGTGTGTGTGTGTGTGTGTGTGTAATGGGTTTTGTCAACACAGAGTCTCTCAAACTGTTTAACCTGGGCAGGCTTAGAACCACCATCCTCCCGATCTCTGCCTCCTGAGTAGCTAGGATTACAGGCGTGAGCCACTGGCACCTAGCAAGATTTATAAAAATTTAATCTGTAATCAAAATACTCCATTTTTAAAAAATTTAATTTAAATGACCTTGAGTTATTCCCTAACTTCATTTAAAATGGGTAATAGTGTATGCCCTATATAATATTCACATTTATTGTCTTTACAAAATTTTATCAATGGTATAATAATTCAGTTGCTTTTCAGTCTGAGGAATTTCATATTTTACATGGTGTTGCCTACATTCAAATAGTTGAAGATTGTTTTTATCCAATTAATGTTGAAGTACAAAAGTTCTTGATCAGAGTTCCAAGAATGGGCTTCAGCATCAATTCCTCCAGAATATTATGCCAAATGGTATGGTTGTAACTTTAAGGGGAAATGACCTTATATGATTCTCAGAGCGGTATATGATCCTACCACTCTATGTGTAGCTAAGCATTACAGAATTAGAACAACCTGGAAGTAAATAATGTCTGCTAGATTCTTTGGATGTGATTACATCACATGGGAAAAAATTTCACAAACATTAGTGACAGACATTTAAAGATAATACAGTTAAAATGTGAAATGAACTTATTGTTAATTCTCAGTATGAACTAATTTTAATGCAGTTAACTTTTTCATTTATTGGTAAATTTTAAAAATATAGGAAAGAATGCCAATGAGCACATATTGCAGATGTTCTAGGCCTATAGGCATGCCTTTAGCAAATCTCAATAATTTGATTGGATAATTGTAATTACATAGTTTACCTTAGAAGCATAAATCAGGCAGTTTTATTGAATATCAATATTCAATATATATTCATATTTTTTTCTTCAAACAATATGAAAACATATTTTACCACAGCAGTAGAAGTAAAACAAACTTATGTAATGGATAATATGTTTATGATGGATATTTAACACTATAGAAAAAAGGGAGTCATTTCAGAGTTAAGGAGAGGGTTCAATTGCTTATATAAGCCTTTTCTTTAAAAACTAACTATTAATAAGAAAATATAATAGCAAAACGATGCTAACATGAACAAATTAAAATAATCCATGGTGATTATCCACATCACTGATTGAGATAAAGTGGTATAGGAAGATCATGTTATTATTTCTACTCAGTGAGAACAGAAGTCATTATCACATAAACATTGGAAGAAACAGGACGTTTTGTGCCCAAAGAAGCCTGATGATTAAAAGACAGCATATATGTATTCTCCTTCATGTCACAGACATTGCTCTTTAAAATAATATTCAAAAGAGTACTCATTTAAAATTTTCCATTAAAAACATGAATTCAAAATAAGTTAAGATATGCTAATTGAAAAATCGTAATTTATAGAAAACTCACCTGTCCAGGGTGATTTGATTCAAATTCCTGCCTTTCCCTTTCATCTTCTCTATTGAGACTGGGGGATAGGCCCGGGCTGAAGGCCATGAGGTCAGTCTTGGGTGGCACCTCCCCAGAGCACACCCTCTGCCGCCTCTGCTGTGAGTACGACCAGCTCCCCACCGCGCTGGAGCACACCAGCATGGGCTTCCCAGGCCCGCACATGCTCCCGGGGGGCGCAGCCGAGCAACGCAGCGCGGTGTACAGCAGCAAAGTGAGCACCAGCAGACTGGACACCGCGCAGATGGCGATGATCAGGTACACATTGACATCCACCAGAGCTGCCTCCTGGGCCACTGAACCCGCCAGTGACGGCGAAGAGGCTTTTGGTGCTTGACCACTGTCCACCAGAGACACCAGCACAGTGGCGGTGGCCATCAGCGCTGGCTCGCCATGGTCCTTCACCAACACCAACAAGCGTTGGCGCGGCGCGTCAGCCTCGTCCAGGGCGCGCGTCGTGCTGATCTCGCCCGTGTACAGCCCCACGCGGAACGGGCTGCGCGCACCACCCGCCGCCGGCTGCAGCTCATAAGACAGCCACGCGTTGTAGCCAGAGTCCGCGTCCACCGCGCGCACCTTCGCCACCACGTGGCCCGCGCCCACTGACCGCGACACCAGCTCGCTCACCGCGCCGCCCACAGCAGGCCCCAGCAGCGCGGGCGCATTGTCGTTCTCATCCAGCACGAACACCTGCAGCGTCACGTTGCTGCCCAGGGGCGGCACGCCAGCGTCGCGCGCGCTCACCTGGAACTGCAGCAGCTCCAGCTCCTCGTGGTCCAGCGGCTGCAGCGCGTACACCTTGCCGCTCTCCGCGTGCACCGACACGTAGCTCGACAGCGCGCGCTCGCCCACCCGCCGCTCCACCAGCGAGTAGGACACCAGCGCGTTCTCCTGCGCGTCCACGTCCCGCGCCGACACCGTGAAGATGTGCGAACCCGGCGCGTTGTTCTCCTTCACGAACACCGTGTACTCGGGCTGCGCGAACGCAGGCGCGTTGTCGTTCACGTCGGCCACCTCCACGGACACGCTGGCCGTGGCCCACAGCGAGGGCGAGCCCCCGTCCCGCGCGGTCACCACCACCTTATAGTCAGATATGGTCTCTCGGTCTAAGGCGCCGTCAAGGACCAAGGAATAGTAATTCTTGAAAGTGGACACCAGCTTGAAGGGAAGGTTGTGCTTAAGAGAGCAGGTCACCTGGCCGTTGACACCAGAGTCAAGGTCTGATACGCTAATCAAGGCTATGACCATGTCAGGCTGAGCGTCCTCAGGTACTGAGAGGGACAGAGAGGTCACGGTAACTTCAGGGGAGTTATCGTTGGTGTCTAAGATTTCTACCAAGACTGTACAGTGACTTGCCATTGGAGGATTCCCCTTATCTGTAGCCTGCACTTCAATTTCATAAAACTTATTTTCTTCGTAATCTAAAGTTCCATTCACCCTCACTTCTCCATTATTTTGATCTAATATAAATAAGGGTCTTCCATTGGGTTTAACAGACAGCAAGGAATACATTACCTCCCCGTTTACTCCTTCATCTCGATCGGAGGCGTTTAACTTTATCACAAGAGTTTCTTCTGGTGCATTTTCCGTCAATCTTACCTTGTATTCTAATTGATCAAATTCCGGGTCATTGTCGTTCACATCCAAAACGAGAATGAAGAGCTGGACCGAGCCTGTGAGCTCCGGTTTCCCTCGATCTACAGCCGTCAGTAGTAAATTTAATTCCGAGGTTTTCTCCCTATCCAGAGACTTCTTTAATATAAGTGACAGTCTTTTAGTATGCTTACTATTTGTTGGTAATTCTAAAGAAAAATACTCATTTTGACTTAGCCTGTAGGTCAAAACAGCGTTCTCTTCTATATCTGCATCAGAAGCTCCCTCTAGCGGAAAACGCGAGTCTGGTTGCTTGGATTCAAAAATCAGCAGCCTTTGTTCCCTGACAGAGAATACTGGAGGATTGTCATTAATGTCCTTCACCTCCACCTCCACATGGAAAACCTGCAGCGGCCTGTCCACGATCACCTCCAGGTGGATGCTGCACTCCGCGCTCCGCCCGCACAGCTCCTCCCGGTCGATCCGAGAATTCACAAACAAAATGCCATTCTGCAGATTTACCTCCAGAAGGTCCCCGCGGTCCTTGGTCGCCACCCGGAACAGGCGCGGCACCAGCTCCGCCAGCTCCAGTCCCAGGTCCTGCGCGATGCGGCCCACGAAGGTGCCGTGTTTGGCCTCCTCGGGAACCGAGTAGTGCAGCTGGCCGCTCCCCGCCTCCCACTTTGCAAAAAGAAGAGAGAGCAAAAGTCGCAGAATGCCCGATCCCCTTCTCTGAAAACCTACCATTGCATTGAAATTGGCTTCCAAGATAAGATTCTTTACACCTACAGTACCAGATCTTCAGTTCAGGTTAAAACTATCGTTGAAATTTTGAGAAGCTCGAAAGGGTCCTTTTAACAGTAGCATTCAGCATAATGGAGTCGTTTTTATATGCGCTCCTGAGAGTTAAACCAACCTATGAATGAACATTTTTCACCAAGTAAAGTGCGACACCTTGTGCCTGAAATTGTGAGTACGGTGCACTACACCTACAAAGAATTGTGTGTTTTATGTTATTTTTTTCCCTAAATAATTCCAAACAGATTCCAATCAGATTTTAGTGATATTGATACCGACTATATGTGAAATGGTACGTTATTTCTTGACTGACATCACATTTTAATTCTTGTTTCTATGTTTCATTTAGTTATAAAATTGTTCTTTTTCTTATCCAAATACTTAGAGAAAGAGATAATTCACTCGTTTAGTGAAAAAAGAGTTAAAATATTTCTTAAAGGCTTTGCCTCTCACGTATAAATATTATCAAACTTGAGCTGTTTTAATATGAGTCTTCCTTGTTACTTAGGCTGCTATAAAACTCAAAGGATAAGAAATTTTTTCAAGCAGTGCTGGAGCCTGTTTTGTTGTTGTTGTTTTGAGGGGGGTTTCGGCAGAACTTAGGGCCTTGTGCATGGTAGGCTGTGCTCTACCACTGATCTGCACCCAACCTTCAAACAAAAATTTGAAGTTTAATAATAACGAGACTTCGGTTTTCACGTTCTGCCATGTTATGTTATGTATATGAATTTGCCTTAGTTTTTTTAATTTCTTAAAATCTGCATACAATACTTGTAGAAATTAATGGGGTATGATTCAAAGTTTCAATACATGTATCTATTGTGTAAAATCAAATCAGGGTAATTAGGATATCCATCACTTCAAACATAATTTCCTTGTGCTAAAACATTCAAAATTCTATCTTCCACTTGAAATATTTGCTACACTAAGGCTAACTGTATCAAATCTCTTTTCTCTTAGATTCTTTATTGTTACTCATATAATTGTCTTCTTGTTACAAGTGACTTTATGTCCATTGCAGAATAAGAAAACAAAGACAAATATATTTTCAAAATTCACAAGTCTTTCGATCTAGATGAATTTTGTATTTAATATACATAATTTTTCATATAAGTTGCATTGCTAATTGTATAAGATAAAGACACTTTATCTAACAGAGTCAATGGTATGACAGAAGTAGCCTTTTTCAATTGCAAAATGAATTTTATTATCATCCAATGAAATTAAGTTGCCATGAAACTCTGTACCATTTTGGTATTTTCATGTATAACCAATATTGGTTTTCTTAATCCAAACAAGGTAAAGTCATGAAGATGGTTTGTTGTTGAAGACTTTAGGGCTTGTGATAATAAGTTCATCCAAAACAAAGGCAGTTATTTTAATGATATCTACTCTAACTGCATGACATCATGTTTAAAATGTAGAAAATAATTAAGCAGTTAAACCAAATGACAAATTGCCTTACAGTTTGGAAATAGAATTTCATACAGTAAGTGAAAATGGAAATTGTTGATGTGAGTTTTCATTTCCTGAAGATGTAATTTGTTTGTTTTCTTCATCTCTGCATATCCACTTAGGATTTAGAAGGGAAAAGAAATGATGCAACAGAAGTTTAGAGTAGAAAGTGGTTCAGAATAAATACCACACTAGCTCAAATATTTTGACATATAGCTTTTTAAAGAGACAAGTTGTGTCTTGTCCAGGCTGGCTTTTAACTCCTGAGCTCAAGTGATGCTCCTGCCTCAGCGTTAAATAGTTTTGATGATTTATCTCCAGTCTAAAAGTACTGTATTGCAAATGGGTGAAGCAGATGGTGCATGCCTGTAATCCCAGCACTGGAGAGGCAAGGGCAAGAGGACTGTGAGTTTCAGGCTAACCTGTCTTCATAGCAAATGCTGAACCAACTTAAGTGTTGCAATGACATATGAAAAATTACCATAGTATTTCTCTTTTAATAGTTTCTCAATCATGACTTTTAAATATACATATATTCTATTCTTAATATGAGATTTTGTTCTACCTTCTCAAAATTTCCTCTTTTCCCAATATTATAATAACACTAGAACTCTTATTAAGCTAAATGAAAATTCTATATTTAAAAAAATAAAGAAACAGGGCTGGAGGTGTGGCTCAAGTAGTAGAAGGCCTGTCTAGCAAGTGCAAAGCCTTGAGTTCAAACCCCAGTACTTCCAAAAAAATTTAAAGAACCAGAGACATGAAGTTTGATGACACTGAATCCTATTACCTTATGGTGCTTTAATCCAAACATAGCATTAAAGCAAATCACAACAGACTTAACAGGATGTATGAAGCAGGTCAAATTTACTTTGAACAAAAGAAAACAACAGACCTCCAATCACTTTATTATTGGAATGGGGAGTGGGATGTAACAAGAAATGTGAAGTGTTACAAGGCAGAGAAATAAATAAGAGAAATTTTGCGCAGGACAGACAATGATATCACAGACTTGAATTAAAAACTGCTGTTAATTTAGGTGTTAATTTCCAATAAGACAGTATTTTGTGAATAAATAACGTGACACTGGCTGATCACCACGTCATAAAGAAGTTTTATATGGTGTGTGAATTAGTGACCCATCTTTTTGCCTTTTGGCTGCGATATTTCAGTTGTCATCATCTCAACCATGCTCAGAGAAGCAAATATGCTGTCCCGCACGCTCTCTCTCTCTCTCTTTCTCTGGATTCATTTCTGGGGATGGACTTCATATCTGGCTAGAGTCTAATGTAAGGAAGCCATATGAACATCATGAGCATCATTGTTAACACTAACTTTGTAAAACTGATTGAAGACTGATAAGCTTTGTGCCCCACATTTACTAAATCAATCTAATTCACCTACTTTTGTGTCCTGCTGATCATATATTAGATTGCAAAAGTTTTTTTTTTTTTTGCAATACTGGAGTTTGAACTCAGGGCCTACACCTTGAGGCACTCTACCAGCCCTTTTTTTGTGAAGGGGTTTTTTGAGATAGGGTCTCACCAACTAATTGCCCGGGCTGGCTTCGAACCTTGATCCTACTGATCTCTGCCTTCTGAGTAGCTAGGATCACACACATGAGCCACTGGCTCCCGGCTAGATTGCAAAGGTTTATGTCCACATCATCCACTAACACTCCATATAAGTCTGATATTATTATTTCTCAAAAACATAAAACACAGAAAGAAATTTTGAAGCCATCTTCATAACCTCAGGTGATTATGTAAAATCCCTATCATGACAGCTATTGGGCTATTTTTTTTAAAAAAAAGAAGAAAAGGCCTGGAGCTGGTGGATCACATCTGTGATAGTAGCTACTCAGGAGGCAGAGTTCAGGAGGATAGGGGTTCAAAGCCAGCCCTGGGCAAATAATTCCAGAGACCCTATCTCAAAAATACCCAACACAGAGCTGATGGAGTAGCTCAAGTCATACAGTGCCTGCCTAGCAAGCATGAAGCCCTAAGTTCAAACCCAGTATTGCCAATGAAAAAAAAGAAAAAAAAAGAAGCATTGTATTAGCAAAATTACAGTATTTACTCGATGTTGACTCTACTCTATCATGGCTTACACAGCTATTTGATCTCAAATCACTTGTTCAGTTGGCACAAGCCTCTCAGCAAAAAATAATACTGAGGAAATCTAAATCCAGAAAGACCAACATATATTTAAAGGCTTTCATGGTTTTAATGCCTTTAAAGTTGTTAATGAAGTATGCACTACTATTAACATTTCTTGAATCATTTGAACATGTTCAGGATTTCTGAAATCACCATTATTATCACTTATACTTTTGTAAGCCATGATCCTTATTCACACACATACAAAAAGAATGAGGTCATTTTTGTACATGGTGTTTGATTTTGATGACCTGAAGAGTACTGGAAAACAAATTTCTGACCTTTCTCATTAAATAATTCTTATTTGCATAACCTCCAAACGACTGATCCATAGTTCTTATGAGGCAATTTTTAGTTGTTTACTGACTGGATAATGTACATTCCTATCTCAATGCAATATTAACTAAAATAAGTGATGGTGATCATGAACTCGTCTAAGGAAAATACTGCTCAACATAAAAATCTCGATGCCCATCTCAATTATGGCATTGCACAAATTAATGATTAACATAATTATGAAGTTATCTTGGAAACAAAGCAGAATGAAATGATCCTAAAAGGAAGACTGTTTAGGGCAAGGAACCAGCTGGTAGGAGGAGGGAGAACGGAGAAGGTGACAGGAGTGAATATCATAGATGTTATATATGTATAACATATATAGCATAATGAAACCTATCAAAAACTCTTTTTAAAGAAGGGGGAGGATAGTTAAGAAAGAATAATATAGAGGGATGAGAATGTTGTAAATATCACAATGAAATCCCTTTATACAATTAATTTATACTAGTACTTTTTTAAAGAACAAAGGGACCTTATGAATTATCTTATACACATCCTTACAGCTCTAAATATAAATTCTCTGAGATCCTTTTAAAGAAAACAATTCACATGGATGTGGTGTTGAGGCAAAAAAAAATTTTACATGAAATGTGTCTAGAATATACTATGTTTAGTTTTGAAGTGTGATCCACACCATGGTTGTCAAGTAGAAGTTTCTTTATTGCTATTTCATGCTTCTTTTTTGCAGTTCTGGGGTTTGAACTCAGGGACTCACACTTGCTAGGCAGGTGCATTACTGCTTGAGCCACACTGCCAGCTATGTTTCTTAAGTTATTTAATGTCATTTTGAAAACTACAAGCCTGATAAGTACACACAATGGTATTGCACTTCACCAAACATGAAATGATTCTCAAACTCAAAAGCACAAAGTGTTAATTCTCAAACTGTAAAATATTTCTATATAGCCTCATGTCAAGTATCAAGAATGGAAGAAAAGCAAGTGTGTTTCATGCTCAAATAAATCTTCCAAATAAGTAGAGGAACTCAAGAAATTTAACTGGAGAACAGTGACGAGTTCAACAGGCAATCAAGCAGAATTGACATAATGGTAGAAAATACAGAAGTGTTGTCTCAAGCCGTGGAAAAATTATGAAGAAAATGTACTTGAAAATATAAACAAATTAATAACAAAATAGTAAGCTCACCCCTAAAGGCAATGCTATAACTCTACTGACTGCAACCACCATCTCAAAGAAAGCATACCATTGAACAGAAAACAATATTTTAAAAATGAAGCTACTCCAACCATGCTTATCTCCATCAGTGATGGGTAAATTTGTGAATTATACAAGTTAAGAATTTGAACATTTTACACTCAAATTATAAAACTAAATATTACTGTAGTACTTTTTTGGTGCTACTGGGTTTTGAACTCAGGGCTTCAAGTTTGCTAAGCAGGCACACCACCACTTGAGCCACTCCACCAGCCCTGTAGTACTTTTGAATACAAAAACGTAATAAAAAGTGGAGGACACCAATTAGAATAAGAATAGGAAGGATGAACTTGCAATAAAATTGAGAAATAGATCTGAGCTTTGCCAATACCCTACATTTCCCACAATGATCCTTGCCGACTTCATGACAGACTTAACTTCTAACTTAGAGGAAACTCTGGCTCAATCTATTCTATTATTTATTATTTATTATTATTATTTAGTACCCAAAGAATATTAGCAAAGAATAAAGTTGATGAGTGGGTGAAAAGTGACGAAGATGGGTAGGCAGACTTCCAGCAAGCTTTATACAAGCCATTGTAAGGAAAACATCAAACAAATATACGAAGAGATGAACTAACACCATTAAACTGGTGAACTATGCAAAATTAATAGGCAAGAAATGCGTCCCAGGATTACTGTACTTACATTCTCAAAGATCTCTTGCTGGACTCCACTATCTCCAGAACCTGAATCAGGAGGAACACTAGGGCTAAAAGCCATGAGGTCAGTCTTGGGTGGCACCTCCCCAGAGCACACCCTCTGCCTCCTCTGCTGCGAGTATGACCAGCTCCCCACCGCGCTGGAGCACACCAGCATGGGCTTCCCAGGCCCGCATATGCTCTCGGTGGGCACAGCCGAGCAACGCAGCGCGGTGTACAGCAGCAACGTGAGCACCAGCAGACTGGACACCGCGCAGATGGCGATGATCAGGTACACGTTGACATTCACCAGAGCTACCTCTGGGTCTGCAGCGTTCACCAATGCCCTCAAAGAGGCCTTTGGTGCTTGACCACTGTCCATCAGAGACACCAGCACGGTGGCGGTGGCCATCAGCGCTGGCTCGCCATGGTCCTTCACCAACACCAACAAGCGCTGGCGCGACGCATCAGCCTCATCGAGGGCGCGCGTCGTGCTGATCTCGCCCGTGTACAGCCCCACGCGGAACGGGCTGCGCGCACCACCCGCCGCCGGCTGCAGCTCATAAGACAGCCACGCGTTGTAGCCAGAGTCCGCGTCCACCGCGCGCACCTTCGCCACCACGTGGCCCGCGCCCACTGACCGCGACACCAGCTCGCTCACCGCGCCGCCCACAGCAGGCCCCAGCAGCGCGGGCGCATTGTCGTTCTCATCCAGCACGAACACCTGCAGCGTCACGTTGCTGCCCAGGGGCGGCACGCCAGCGTCGCGCGCGCTCACCTGGAACTGCAGCAGCTCCAGCTCCTCGTGGTCCAGCGGCTGCAGCGCGTACACCTTGCCGCTCTCCACGTGCACCGACACGTAGCTCGACAGCGCGCGCTCGCCCACCCGCTGCTCCACCAGCGAGTAGGACACCAGCGCGTTCTCCTGCGCGTCCACGTCCCGCGCCGACACCGTGAAGATGTGCGAACCCGGCGCGTTGTTCTCCTTCACGAACACAGTGTACTCGGGCTGCGCGAACGCAGGCGCGTTGTCGTTCACGTCGGCCACCTCCACGGACACGCTGGCCGTGGCCCACAGCGAGGGCGAGCCCCCGTCCCGCGCGGTCACCACCACCTTATAGTCAGATATGGTCTCTCGGTCCAGGGCGCCGTCAAGGACCAGGGAATAGTAATTCTTGAAAGTGGACACCAGCTTGAAGGGAACAGTGGGTGTCAGGGAGCAGGTCACCTGCCCATTGACACTGGAGTCACGGTCAGTCACACTGATTAAGGCTATCACGGTCCCCAATAGAGCATCCTCTCGAATAGGGAGTGATAGTGACGTTACTACTAATTGTGGAGCATTATCATTAATGTCCAAAACTTCTATCAGAACTGTACAGTGACCAAACATTGGAGGATTGCCTTTATCAACTGCTTCTACTTGAATCTTCCATAATTTTGTATCTTCAAAATCTATTTTTCCATTTACTTTAATTTCTCCACTATCTGAATCTATACGAAAACAGTCTTGCGTCTTTGGGGAGACATTAATTCCAAAGGAATAAAGAATGTGGCTGTTCGAACCCTCATCCAAATCCGAGGCGTTAGGTCTAATCACCAGGGTACCGTTTCTTGCATTTTCCAGTAATTTCACACGATACATTGCTTTTTCAAACACCGGAGCGTTGTCATTTACATCCAGTACTGTGACATGTAACTCTATGGCGCCTGTTTGTTCAGGTTTTCCCCCATCAGTTGCTTTAAGCACTAAGAGAAGCTCTGAAGCTACTTCTCTATCTAAAGCTTTTTTTAATATTAGTTCGAGTGGTTTTACTCGCTCTTCGTTGGTTGGCACTTCCAGCGAGAAATACTCATTGGAGCTCAATCTGTAAGTCAGATGAGCATTTGCCCCAACGTCTGCATCGGAAGCTCCCTCTATTAAAAAATGAGAGTCTAGAGCTCTAGTTTCGGAAATAAACAGATTCCTTTGTGGCTCTGGGAAAACAGGCGGGTTGTCATTAATGTCCTTCACCTCCACCTCCACATGGAAAACCTGCAGCGGCCTGTCCACGATCACCTCCAAGTGGATGCTGCACTCTGTGCTCCGCCCGCACAGCTCCTCCCGGTCGATCCGAGAACTTACAAACAAAATGCCATTCTTTAGATTTACCTCCAGAAGGTCCCCGCGGTCCTTGGACTCCACCCGGAACAGGCGCGGCACCAGCTCCGCCAGCTCCAGTCCCAGGTCCTGCGCGATGCGGCCCACGAAGGTGCCGTGTTTGGCCTCCTCCGGGACCGAATAGTGCAGCTGGCCGCTCCCCGCCTCCCAGGCTGCGAGGAGCAGAAGCGAGAGCAGCAGGTGCCGTGATCTCTGGCCACCTGGTCGAGCAGCTAACACCATGTCTCTGTTTTGGTTCGTAAAATAATATTTCATGACCAAAAAAGATATAGTGGTCCCCCTAAGACCTTTCTTCTGAGTTCTTCCTCCGACGTTCCAGCGAACCTTAAAAATATGGGTGTCCTGATTGTCTTTAAAGCACGGTAACAGTAGAGCTTCTTTCTCATCTGCAGACAATGACTTGCTTCTGTTAAAAAATTACTCTTCTTGAGGAACAGCGACATCCTGTGGCTCGAAATGTAAGTTCGATCGAATTTATACTACTGTGCTTACCTTGCTGCTTCATAATTCCTTCACATTTGTCCAAGTTTTTCTTTGTGTGTTTTTAAGCCTTTTACTTTCTATGTGACCAGTAGCTCATTAAAGAGGTTTTTCCTTACAAATAGAATTCCAAGAAGTTTTACCTTGTATATAGACATCAAAGAGAACGTATTACGGCACTAACTATATTATCACCTTAAGATATGAAAAAAATTATATTCGTGAGGTATTGGTGATAGCTCTTTTTCCACTTTTAAAAACTTACCATTTGGAATGGCCTCACTCATAAAATATATTCCTAACGCTCAACACTTTTGCCTTGTTAATCCTTTTTCTGTAGCAAATTATTCTGAACATTTCATCCAACTGTGTAGAGGATAGAGGATAACTCAAGATGCCAGTTTTCTAAATAACCACCTCAACACAATGGGATGTCAAATCAATCCTAATAAGTTACTATATTATCCATCTTAGCTTTTATATTAATGAATTTTCCCAGCATGGACTCCTGGAAACACGAAGTAGATGTGTGAGACTGGATATCCTCTTAAAGCTTTTGTTTTCAGGTGCCTGCTCAGGATGGACGTTGTTTCCACCCTGCAGAACAACTTCGGTGGGCATTGTATTAAAAAATATGTGAAAGGAATTCAAATTATATGTCTGTTAACTCATTTTATTCCAGAATTGATTTGAAAAGACTAGAATCTAAAGGTTATTCGAAGTATCATTCACTAAATCTTATTTTCCTTTTTTATCTAAAATATTAAAAAAATACATTGACATTTACATAGACACTTTACCAAGTGCAATAAAGTTATCATTATTGGCTTAAAGAAGAAACATATTTTAATCATTTTCAAAATTGTAAAGAACCACTTAGCCAGCATCTGAATCCTTCCAGTAAAATAGAAGCATTGGGAAAACCTCAAATTTTCCCTCTAAAAACAATTGTAAATGGATACACATGAGTAAATTAGATTGTATATAAAAGTAAGCTTCACTCTTCATTTAAACACTTAAAACAGTGATAAAAATGGTTATAAATTTATGTCTTAAGATTTATAGTTCTAATTACTTCTAATTATTTTTATGATGGACGTGATAAATCCTAAAGCAACATATTACATAAAAATAGAGCAAGAAAAATTTCACCCAGTGGAGTTGGCCAAATTCAGGAAGAGATGAGCACTAACAAACGTTTTTAACTTTTGTTAAAACTTTAAGTTTGCTGAATGAAATTACTTGGTCTCTTTGGGAATGTTCATGTTGAAATGAAGATTCATTACAGTTTTAGTCTGAAGGATTCTCTATCAAGGAAGTACATATAAAATGCAATTTCTAAAGCCTCTAATTCCAAGACTTTCATATAATTAATAATTATAGTATCATAATTAAGCTATGTGTTAGTTACTCATCTCACTTCATACTATTAAGCTGGGTACACCATGCCTACAATAACAGGATTCTGGGAGGCAAAGACTAGCATGGGCTACATAGCAAGACCCTGTCTCAAAAAATGAAACAAAACCAAAAAACAAGTAACATGTATAAATGATGGCAAAGTAAAATTAGATTAAATTAGTAAAAGCATAAATTGATGTTTCTTTAACAACAGATTTAGGATTATCTTTGGATAAGACTGTTCTGCAAAGGTTGCATACTGATATTATAAAATGCCAATAGAGAAGAGATGTCAGAAAAAAGAATTGGATGTACAAGTTGAAATGAAGCCAAGTATGAAGAATGTTGACAGAAGCTCAGAAGACATTCCAGTCTAAAAGTAATTAAAAGACACAATTCTGAGTTCCACAAGGGGGGGAATCATGAGTACTTCAGAAAATAAGAAAAGGTTTAGCTATATATTGATTTTTTTAAAGTAAGCTATTATTTGTATCTTCTTTAGTTGTGTATTGTAAAAACATCATTGCTCTGAGTACAATCAGAGACCATCTTGTAAAAATTTAATAACATGAAAATAATGATGAAGAAAAAAATAATAAAAAGTCATAGACCTGAAAAAAATACAGTGACCCATTAGAAAGAATGAGCAATAATAAAAGATATCCACATATATATGTATTTATCTATCTATTACATTTAATAATGAGCATTATCTTTTAAACTCAGTGGACAAAGTAAGAATATCTTCACATTGAAGGTTAAAACACCTATCAAGACATACTGTAAAAATTGAAATATGAATTTAAATTACTATTGCTGGAGACATGAATTTACTGCAGAACTGAGTCTTTCATGCCTCATTTGAACTCTTACTAAGGGAAGAGATACAAAATATTCAAGGTTAGGGCAGGAGTTATAGCTCAGTGGCAGAGCATGTATAGTGTGCCCTAGACCCGGAGTTCAATCCCCAGCACCAAATAATAAATGTTAAAAGAAGATTTTTTTCCAAACATCTGAGTGTAAGGAATTCATTTCGTAGATATATTTGATATAGCAGCAAATAAGTTTTTAACTCTGCATTACTTTATCACCTATAAACTCCAAGAGTTGGAGTTGAGACAGGCTATGGGAATCATTAATATTGAAAGCAATCCCACACTTAAATCCCAGCCATAATGACATATTTTAGTATTGCTAAGCTTGAATAAAGATGTCAACTTTTGCTGGAAGCTATTTAGGAAGTACATATTGAAAAACAAATTCAATATTCATACTGAAAGGAAACAGAAAAAGGAAAAAGTAATTGCTATTAAGGACCACAGGGCCAAGATGGTAAATTAGTTGCATTGGTATTTGGTAACACTGAAATTAATAAAAATAAAAAATGAAACCATGAGTATCAGGTAACAATAAGTTTCAGAAAAGAACAACTGATTGGCTAGTTTTGCCATCATGCAATTGCATTCGCTTGCATTTCTGAGTATCTATAATCCAGCTCCGGTTAAGATGACTGAAGAAGCTGTAAAACTAAACTCATCATATATCAGATTAATAGAAAATATTCTAAGAGGTTAATTCAATTTTCTATTCCCACTTCTAATACTGATTTGGACTAAATTAAGCATTTTCAATCTCCTTTAAATTAAAAATTAATTTCATGGAGGCTTTCCTTGTATACACAAAATATTGGGTATGACCCCAAGCATTACAAAAGAGAAAGGAAGAAGGATGGAAGGAAGGAAGGAAGGAGAAAAAAAGAGGCAAGGTGTTTAAAATGATTTTCAAATGCTCTCCATTCTTTAACATAACCACAACAACTTCCTCAAAGTGGAAAGCTAATAGTTGATTATCATAAGCAATGACTGAAGCTGACAAAGTGAAGAGCTTCTAGATAGTTATGTAAATAAAGATGAAACACTTTCTCATCTAAAACAAACGTGAATAATACACACTACATAGGCATTAATACTACTGAAATAAAAACAAAAATATTTCACACTTAAAATATTTAACTTAATTCACAACATCAAGAACTTTTCACCAGTGTAGCTTGCTTACTATTGAATAACAAGGGTAATCATAAATATAGAAGATACATTACGTCCGTCATTGAAATTCACAACACAAAATAATATAAAAGAAAATGTAATACCCACCTTCCCAGATTGATCCCTTTCAGTAGACTGATCCATTGCCACATCTGCCACTTGACAGGGTGTAAGACTAGGACTGAATACCATGAGGTCAGTCTTGGGTGGCACTTCCCCAGAACACACCCTCTGCCTCCTCTGCTGTGAATAAGACCAGCTCCCCACCGCACTGGAGCACACAAGCATGGGCTTCCCAGGCCTGCACATGCTCTCGGTGGGCACCGCTGAGCAACGCAGCGCGGTGCACAGCAGCAACGTGAGCACCAGCAGACTGGACACCGCGCAGATGGCGATGATCAGATACACGTTGACATTCACCAACGCTGCATCCCCGCCTACAGGACCCACCGATGCCTGGGACAATACCTTTGGTGCTTGACCACTGTCCACCAGAGACACCAGCACAGTGGCGGTGGCCATCAGCGCTGGCTCGCCATGGTCCTTCACCAGCACCAACAAGCGCTGACGCGGCGCATCAGCCTCGTCAAGGGCGCGCGTCGTGCTGATCTCGCCCGTGTACAGCCCCACGCGGAACGGGCTGCGCGCACCACCCGCCGCCGGCTGCAGCTCATAAGACAGCCACGCGTTGTAGCCAGAGTCCGCGTCCACCGCGCGCACCTTCGCCACCACGTGGCCCGCGCCCACTGACCGCGACACCAGCTCGCTCACCGCGCCGCCCACAGCAGGCCCCAGCAGCGCGGGCGCATTGTCGTTCTCATCCAGCACGAACACCTGCAGCGTCACGTTGCTGCCCAGGGGCGGCACGCCAGCGTCGCGCGCGCTCACCTGGAACTGCAGCAGCTCCAGCTCCTCGTGGTCCAGCGGCTGCAGCGCGTACACCTTGCCGCTCTCCGCGTGCACCGACACGTAGCTCGACAGCGCGCGCTCGCCCACCCGCCGCTCCACCAGCGAGTAGGACACCAGCGCGTTCTCCTGCGCGTCCACGTCCCGCGCCGACACCGTGAAGATGTGCGAACCCGGCGCGTTGTTCTCCTTCACGAACACCGTGTACTCGGGCTGCGCGAACGCAGGCGCGTTGTCGTTCACGTCGGCCACCTCCACGGACATGCTGGCCGTGGCCCACAGCGAGGGCGAGCCCCCGTCCCGCGCGGTCACCACCACCTTATAGTCAGATATGGTCTCTCGGTCCAGCTCGCCATCCAGCACCAATGAATAGTAATTCTTGAAAGTGGACACCAGCTTGAAGGGAACAGTGGGTGTCAGGGAGCAGGTCACCTGCCCGTTGGCTCCAGAATCTTGGTCAGACACACTGACCAGCGCGATGACAGTGCCCGACTGAGTGTCTTCTTTGACTGGAAGAGACAAAGAAGTGACAACTATCTCTGGTGAATTGTCATTTTCATCCAAGATTTCCACCAAGACAGTGCAGTGACCAACCATAGGTGGATTTCCTTTATCTGTAACATCTACATGAATTTCGTAACTGTTGCTGTCTTCGAAGTCGATAGTATCATTTACTCTTATTTCTCCTGTTCTTTCATTTATTAAAAATTTTCTTCTTGTGATGGGCGGGACCAGAGAGCTAAATGAATACACCAACTCCTTGTTTATTCCTTCATCTGTGTCAGAAGCGTTTAGCCATATCACTAACGTTTGGTTTGCTTGATTTTCATACATCTTCACTTCATAAATGGATCTGTCAAATACAGGGGCATTATCGTTGGCATCCAACACCAGGATCAATATAGAAATAGATCCAGTGAACTCAGGTTTGCCTCCATCAGTTGCAGTCAGTAATAACTTAATCTGAGGATTTTCTTCACGATCTAGAAGTTTTCTCAGAACAAGCACTGGGAGTTTGCCTTTGTATTTTTTGCTTATAATCTCAAGATTGAAAAACTCGTTTGAATTGAGTTTGTAAGTAAGCAGTGAGTTCTCTCCGACATCAGCATCAGATGCGCCTTCCAGAGGAAATTTAGAATCAAGCAGTCTAGATTCAGGTATCAAGATCTTTTGCTCTGTTACAGAGAATACTGGCGGGTTGTCGTTAATGTCCTTCACCTCCACCTCCACATGGAAAACCTGCAGCGGCCTGTCCACGATCACCTCCAGGTGGATGCTGCACTCCATGCTCCGCCCGCACAGCTCCTCCCGGTCGATCCGAGAATTCACAAACAAAATGCCATTCTGCAGATTTACCTCCAGAAGGTCCCCTCGGTCCTTGGACTCCACTCGGAACAGGCGCGGCATCAGCTCCGCCAGCTCCAGTCCCAGGTCCTGCGCGATGCGGCCCACGAAGGTGCCGTGTTTGGCCTCCTCAGGGACCGAATAGTGCAGCTGGCCGCTCCCCACCTCCCAGGCTGCGAGGAGCAGAAGAGAGAGCAGCAGGCGCTGGACTCCATGACCGCGGATTCTGGAGATCAACAGCATGTATTTCTCTTGTTTTACAAATCGGTGAATACTCTGAGTGGGACGCACACACGCTCCGGTGTGTGCTGTTCGATTTCTTAGTTCCATGGCTGAGATCTTAGAATGTAGCTACTTCCTAGCAATTGAGACTTAGTGGACTAGGCTTTTGTTCCTAAGAGCTACGTATTTCGTGGGCGACAGCGACATCCGGTGGCTAAATTTTTAAGTACAAGTCCACGAATTAACGACTTTTCTTTCCTTCATAACTTTTAATTCTATTTTCTATGGATTTTATCACTGTGGACTTTCTAAAAGCCTCATATTTTGTCTCTTTTGGTAGTATTGAGTTTGAACTGCGGCTTTGTGCATGCGAGGTAGGCGCTATAATACTTGAGCCAGACCACCAGGCATCTCTTTTGTATATAATAATAATTGTGTACCCAAGGCGTATCTTTTTCTTTAATGTAGAACCGCAGAGCAGTGATTCCTCCTTAACCATGTGACTATCCTTTAATTTTTAATTGCCTTAATATTGGCATGCTGATGAGTGTACTAGTATTTTGTTGGATGACAAGTGTAGGTCTCTTCAAGTTGTAATACATAACTTATTTCTCTTTGTCAGTGTTTTGAGATTCAATGAACTCTTTTTAAACACTAATTTCAAGCATCAGTTGTCTTTAAGGTGTTTGCAACCCAAAAGTTCCAGTCATCACTAGAATGTAGAGAGATCTAAGCTTCAACATCAGCTATTTCTCCACTTAGAGTCTTATCAGCTTTCTTGTTAATCATTAAATTTGTCTTCCCAACCATTCAACCGCCCCACATTTCAGTTTCCACTTTCATAACATTGGCATATTACTAATACAGTGGTTGTATGAATTACAGCATATTAAGTGCTTAGGACAGCACTTTAAGGAGAATGAGTGTTCACAAATGAGAATTATTCTCAGGCCTCACTTTGACCACATTTGTTTTCATGATGTTCAAGACCAAATGTGGCTCCTCAAGAAAAACTATTACCTATGGAATATTGTCACTTTCCAATGCCTTTGTTATTGCTATTGCAGTGATTCTTGTCTTTAAGAAAATGTAAATGTGACTTTACTGAGAAATCTGTTTACATGGGGAGAAATTTTACTTTGTGATATCTTACATGGGCAAAAAGAATCTTAATTATGATTCTAAAGAAGTAATTCACAATTTCATGACTTATTTTCAGAGACACCTGCTTTCATGCTTATTATATTTAAGTTTTTCAAATACGCAAAAATATAAAGTTCTGGAATTTATTTAATAGTTTTTATAATGTCAATGAAGGTTTTTTTCACTGTCTTCAACAATAAGAATATTTTCTTCTCCCAAGCTTCTTGAAATCAACTAATCAGAAACCAAAAATATCCACTCCACTGGCATATCCATGTTGATAAAAATTAATGTTTTCCTATTTCCAAAAAAATGGAAAACTTGTCAATAGAAACTCTAGTCCTAAAAATTTAATAATGACTTGTAAAAAACATATTTCTAAATATATAAATAACTTTGAGATATTTTATTCACTAGTAAAATCTGAACCACATAGCAACAATATTTACAAATAGGAAAACTGACAGGAATGAAGGCTACTCAATCTGCCAGCTTATGTGCCCTGCTAAATTCTGGTTTTATATTTCTTTACTCCTTTAGAATGACTCCAGTGTCAAAAATCTACTCAACTTCTGATTTTTTGGATTGTTTTCTTTTATAAGGCATAAATTAAAATGTATTGAGTTAACCATCCACTCACAATGCTAATATTCAATTTGAGCTATTATCTGAAATCTAAAAATAAGTTTATAATTGACTAATCATCTCAACACAAGATAATGGCATAAACTAAACTACATTCCAATTAATATGCATTTTATACCAAATAACATAAATCCCAATATGGATCTCTACTATTGAATTAAAAATAGGAGCTAGTTAAATTAAGCAATAGGAAATTGCTTTGTCAAACACTGAATAGGACTATGAATCTAAAACATAACTTGGACAAGAATTACCTTGGGTGCTCATTAAAATGAAATTTTTCCCATTCTACTCATTTTGGAAATTCTGAAGGCTCAGTGTGACTGTTTCAATACGGAATCCCAGTGTTGTTGATGTTATTAGCATTAGTAAGACTAAGAATAGGCTGACAATAGACCTCAATTTGCCTAGGACAAATTCAGTTTACATCTGGTCTTAAATACTTAGTGAAAGTGTCCTTTTTACTCTTAAAAGTGCCTGAGATTGAGAGATAAGTTAATTTGCCCTATCTAGTGACTGCGTATGAGAAGTCACTATACCAGTGACGGGTATAAGAAGAACTTTAGTACAGGTTTCATGGTTCTGGCTTGAATTGAGGAATGTCACCTAAAGAAGCATAACAGGTGAGCAATTAGGCAGAATATTAAGGTGTGTTCCATGCTGTCAACACTCCTAACTTCCCTGAATCTCATGTTTCCTGATAACCCCCAAAGATAAATTCAATTTTAAGGTATTCACAACTTTCCTGAAATTTGCATATGATGGCAGCCTATAATCTGGGTGATAGTGAAGATTAATATAAGAAGCTAAATTACCAATTACATCAATAGAGCAATGAAAAATAAGGAATAAATATTATAATTGTGGAAGATATAAATCAGTGCTCAAAAAATTAGCTACAAGAGAAGAAGGAGTTGTCTTGGGGACAAATGACATTTATATTACTCTTCAATCTATATCATAAACTTAAATTACTGCACCCAAGCTCAAATGGAACATGGTACTTGAAAAAAATGAAAATATAATTTGAATACAATGTGAGTGATATTGATAGGCATAAGTTTGGCAACAGGAGTTCAAGCACTAGTCAAATTTGAAGGAGTGAAATGGAAAAATAAACTGCATTATAACATACATTTTAGGGGAGGAATTTATCTAGGAATTTAAGTTATCAAAATTAAAATTTACTTGCATTTTCATAATTATTATTGTGGCACTATTCACAAAGTAGAAAGCCACTCTAATTTTCCTTTTCTGAGGAGTTTTTTTGTGGTTTTTTTTTTTGCAGTGGTAGGGATTGAACTAAATGCCTCATACATGTGAGGCAAGAACTCTACTCCATTGAAACTTTAAAGAATACCTTGCAAAATACCTGACAAAATATAAAGTAAAATAGATGAAAGAAAAAAGAGACATATAAATTACATTTAAAACTCAGCAAAGGTGCAAATAAAGTTTGTCAAATATAAATTAGAAAAGAAAAAATAGCATGACCTGAAGGTACAATGCACAAAACCACCGATTTCAAAGTCAGAAACTATAATCCAGGAAATGTAAGTATAACATGTAGTGACATTAAAGGTGCACAATCTCATATCCAGATTCCTGTCTGGTAGAAAAGCCAGAGAAAAGTAAATCCTCATGTAAGGTAGGAGAAATTTTTTAAGTTTCAAACCATGAATTTCATGAGAATTCAAAGGATCAAGTCTTCAAATTCAAAATTTTTTTTCGCTAAAAAAAAATATCACTTAAGAGTCATTTTTTGTGGCACTAGGGTTTGAACTAACGGTTTTGCACTTGCTAGCGTGGAAGCACTCTACCACTGGAGCCACACAGCCAGCCCAAGTAACTCTTTGAAGAAAGAAAGTATCTGTCAGGAAAAATTTTCTCTAATGTCAGAAATGAAACTCTTACAAACAAATTTCTAAGTGTAGAAAAGATTGTCAATCAACATTTTCATATAATCTACATTATCAGACATTCACAAATGTATTTTATACAAATTGAAGTGAGGATTGTATTTGTAATCTTTTTTTTTTTACAGAACTAGATTCATAGGTAGAGAAATCAATTTCGAGGGCTTGCTGGAAATTATTTATAGAGATAATAAATACCAAGTGGTGGTGGACAACCAGGTTCAAGAGAATCTCCATTCAGAGAAATTGAGAGAACAGAGGGTTTATAATAAACAACAGAATTACTCCAAACCAAAACTGAATAAAAGAAAGAGTGGTGTTGATGTCTACTAAATGAGTTCATACTAGTCTGGTTTTTCCACACCCAGTAGATTTCAAGGGCTATGGCATTAGCAAAGCATTAGCAATTCACTCATGGCAACTTCTAAATAAAGTAACTCAATACAACATAAATGTTTCCAGTATGTACACTTTATGATGACTCTCATTAGAAAATTCAAAACATAAAGTCTGATCCACCACTAAAGGAGTCATTACTGATTTTTGTAAATCAGATAAATTTCTAGAAAAATTTTTAAAACGCTATTTAAATGTACCAGAAAGCAAAAAATATCTTTCAAGAACAAGGATATAATTATAACAATAAGATTCTAGGACAACCCACCTTCCCAGAGGAGTCCAAAATAGGAGGTGGTTCTCCAGCTCCATCTGCAGATCCAAGACAAGGAGGAAGACTGGGACTAAAGGCCATGAGGTCAGTCTTGGGTGGCACCTCTCCAGAGCACACCCTCTGCCTCCTCTGCTGCGAGTATGACCAGCTCCCCACCGCACTGGAGCACACCAGCATGGGCTTCCCAGGCCCGCACATGCTCCCCGTGGGCGTCGCTGAGCAACGCAGCGCGGTGTACAGCAGCAACGTGAGCACCAGCAGACTGGACACCGCGCAGATAGCAATGATCAGGTAAATGTTGACATCCACCAGCTCAACCTCGGAGCTGGAATCTCCAACTGATGTGCGCAAGGAAACTTTTGGAGCCTGGCCGCTGTCCACCAGAGACACTAGCACGGTGGCGGTGGCCATCAGCGCAGGCTCGCCATGGTCCTTCACCAGCACCAACAAGCGCTGGCGCGGCGCATCAGCCTCGTCCAGGGCGCGCGTCGTGCTGATCTCGCCCGTGTACAGCCCCACGCGGAACGGGCTGCGCGCACCACCCGCCGCCGGCTGCAGCTCATAAGACAGCCACGCGTTGTAGCCAGAGTCCGCGTCCACCGCGCGCACCTTCGCCACCACGTGGCCCGCGCCCACTGACCGCGACACCAGCTCGCTCACCGCGCCGCCCACAGCAGGCCCCAGCAGCGCGGGCGCATTGTCGTTCTCATCCAGCACGAACACCTGCAGCGTCACGTTGCTGCCCAGGGGCGGCACGCCAGCGTCGCGCGCGCTCACCTGGAACTGCAGCAGCTCCAGCTCCTCGTGGTCCAGCGGCTGCAGCGCGTACACCTTGCCGCTCTCCGCGTGCACCGACACGTAGCTCGACAGCGCGCGCTCGCCCACCCGCCGCTCCACCAGCGAGTAGGACACCAGCGCGTTCTCCTGCGCGTCCACGTCCCGCGCCGACACCGTGAAGATGTGCGAACCCGGCGCGTTGTTCTCCTTCACGAACACCGTGTACTCGGGCTGCGCGAACGCAGGCGCGTTGTCGTTCACGTCGGCCACCTCCACGGACACGCTGGCCGTGGCCCACAGCGAGGGCGAGCCCCCGTCCCGCGCGGTCACCACCACCTTATAGTCAGATATGGTCTCTCGGTCCAGGGCGCCGTCAAGGACCAGGGAATAGTAATTCTTGAAAGTGGACACCAGCTTGAAGGGAACATGGGGCGTCAGGGAACAGGTCACCTGCCCATTTGTCCCAGAATCCCGGTCGAGGACACTAATCAAAGTTATGACTGTGCCTGGCTTTGTGTCTTCAGCAATAGGGAGAGACAGAGAAGTGACAGTCAACTGCGGAGCATTGTCATTTTTGTCCACAACTTCCACAAGAACTGTACAGTGACCAGCCATTGGCGGGAAGCCTTTATCAACTGCCTCTACTTGAATTTTGTACACTTTACTTTCTTCAAAATCAATAAGTCCTATCACTGTAATTTCTCCACTCACAGCATCTATATGAAACTTGGATTTTACATCCGGAGAAACATCACTAGAGAATAAATAAGTTATATCCCCATTCACTCCTTCATCTAAATCTGAGGCGTTGGGGTGAATTACCAACGTTCCAATAGAAACATTTTCTGGTAACTTCACTGTATACAGTGTTCTGTTAAAAACTGGAGCATTGTCATTGGCATCCAGAACTGTGATGAACAACTGAACGGTGCCAGTCAGCTCCGGTTTGCCTCCATCGGTAGCCGTGAGCAGTAAGCACAGCTCAGGAGCTTCTTCCCTGTCCAAAGGTTTCCGTAATACAAGCCCAAGAGGTTTTACCTGCTCGTGGCTGGGCGGGATGTCCAGAGAGAAATACTCATTGGGACTCAGTCTATAAGTAAGCACAGCATTGACTCCAATATCTGCATCCGAGGCGCCCTCTAGTGGAAGTCTAGAGTCAAGCAACCTGGATTCTGGGATAAACAGATTCTTTTGTGTTGCCAGGAACATTGGTGGGTTGTCGTTAATGTCCTTCACCTCCACCTCCACATGGAAAACCTGCAGCGGCCTGTCCACGATCACCTCCAGGTGGATGCTGCACTCCGCGCTCCACCCGCACAGCTCCTCCCGGTCGATCCGAGAATTCACAAACAAAATGCCATTCTGCAGATTTACCTCCAGAAGGTCCCCGCGGTCCTTGGTCGCCACCCGGAACAGGCGCGGCACCAGCTCCTCCGGCTCCAGTCCCAGATCCTGAGCGATGCGGCCCACGAAGGTGCCGTGTTTGGCCTCCTCGGAGACTGAGTAATGGAGCTCGCTGCTCCCTGCTTCCCAAGCTGCAAGAATTATTACCAACAGGAGTAGCTGTCTTCTCTCCTGGTTGTTTTTCCTCAGGTACACCATTTCAGATTGTTAGTTTACTCTCATCAGCGACACTTGCCTCAAATTGTGTGAATCTTCTTATATTTTCATTGCAATCCCGATATGCTGGCCATTGTTGAGAATCCGTGTGGAGCGTCTTTCCAATTGAAAATGAATGACTTTGTTTCGTAAATATGAAACTATCTCACGGTTAAGAGCGACATCATGTGGCCCGAGTTAGTAAGTGGGAATTATTTTAGTAAGATAAAGTTTATTTCAGGTTCTAGATTTTTTTTTCTTTATTGCTGTTATAATGTAGAACACTTCGCACCCTTGTTGAAGATATTCTAAGAATACCTTAATGGCTTTTGAATATTTAATGTGGCTATTATTTGGGCTTCCTCATTCCTTAGGACAACTTTTCCATTATTTTTATATAAAAATAACTTAAGTGGCAATGAAATTAATCATGCAAACAAATTTCTTTGTTCTAAAGTTTAAGAAAGTCCATATTCTTAGATTCAGTATCACCTGTGAAGGAAATTCCGGTGTCTTCAGAATCTCCTTAATGAAAGAAAAACGTACGTTTTTTTTTCCTTAGAACAGGCAAGGGATAGTGTGCAAGTATTCAGATTGCTTTCTTAATAAAAGGAAACATTAGAAGAGTTTTGAATCTTTGAAGGCAAGTATTTGTATTAAGGTAACTTTTTAAGAAACAAGTATTCTGAATTTTTCCTGTTCAGAATTTATATAGTTTGTTGTAGGAAATCATGACTCCCATACTTATTTACTCTTTTCTAAACCTTTTTTTGATTATGTGCTTGTTTTCACAATCTCCAATAAGATTTAGGTTCTTTCATGATAAGGCTTTATTTCATCAGCAAAATTTTGGTGCTCACCCAATCCTATTTATGCCAATTCTTTATTCAAGTCTTGGAATACTTTACAATTTTTTTTAATCTATGTAGCAGAGCTAGTTTTCTTGGATGTTTCACCCCAGCGTTCCCCAACATCAAGTGAAATAGTTGCATTTGTGTTCCAATGCTTCCCAAGTTTGGTATTTGCCTACATTCGTTTTTATGATTGTTGTGCCCCTGACTCTTGCAAAATCCTCTAGTTGCGTCTCCCTTTTAATCCAGACCTCACTCATCCTTCACTTAATACTCATCTTTCTGAAATATCTTTATTACAATTGCTTCACATTTTCTGATACTTTTCAAATGACATTGAGGACAAAATTTTTAGTCTAGTGCTCAAAGTTGTTTGGATTTTTCTTGTAACACTTTTCTTGATTTCTTTCACATTTTCTCCTATGAGAACCAGATGCTTTAACCAAAGTGAATTATTCTCTGATTCTAGATACATTTTGGGTTTTCTGTGTACTCCTTTTATTTAAATTACTCTTTTCCCAAGAATACTAATTATTTTCAATATTCTCCCAAGGAAAATTCTCCATTTTATAATCACCAAAATTGTCATTACTCTAGAAAGTTTCCTTCAACAAGTGAAATAGGCAGAGCATTCCATTCATTTCCATTCACACTGTGATTAATCTTTCTTGCACCTCTTATAACATTCTGATTTCTGTTGTGGTCATGTTATGTATGGCACATTCATATTTTTCTATGAAAATATATTTTGGCAGACCTGGGGTTTGAACTTAAGACCTCACACTTGCTAGACAGGTGCTCTACCACCCTTTCTATGAAATTCTTGAAGTAGGCATCGGATTTTGATTCAATGTTTTTTGGCAGGCACAATATTACAGAGACCCTCCTAGAAATCTTTTCAAAGTATTTACTCAATAGTAATGGCTATGGTGTTTCTTTACTTCCTAAGAAAGCAAGCTGTTAGGGTTGCCAGATATCATCATCCTTACCAAAGTTGCTATTTATTGATTGATATAAACAGAGGTGATTTTGTTCAGATTGTTTTTGGTTTTGTTTTTTATTTTTTGCATTTCAGTACACTACTAAGTATGTGTTTTAAGATTGTTATGCAGTCCATTAAAACAAAACAGAAAACTCTCTTAATGGTTTCTTATGAAGAATAAAAAATGAACACATTAGGGAGCACAAATCCCAACTCAGTCCTCTATTGAACTTGAGCAATTTTTAAGTGTGAGAAAATATGTGATTCAAGCTTAATGTAGTCTAATATTTCTTGAGAAGCATGGACAAGGAGAAAGGTTAAAACCATGTCCAGGAAGTCACCAAGGGAGGAGCAGTTTAAAGTCTTTTGAATCTAAAAACTTTTCCACTGCCAGACTTAGTTCAATTAATTTTAAAATTATTTTTTAAATGTAATACATGGACAGACATGGTGGTTCTGTAATCCTAGCTTCTCAGGAGGTTGAGATTTGAGATCTGGAGGATACAAGTTTGAGGCCATAATGGGCAAAAAGTTTTCAAGACCCCATCTCAACCAATAAAAGTTGGGCATAGTAGTGTAAACACCTGTTGTCTCAGCTATGTGGAAAACATAAATAGGAGGATCCCCACCTATGGCTGCAAGGGCATAAATGCAAGACTCTATGTGAAAATAACTAAAAAGCAAACAGAGCTGGAAGACATGGTTCAAGTGGTAGAGCTCCTGCCTAGCAAGTACAAGGCCATGAATTCAAACCCCAGTACCACCAAAATGAAAATTATAATACTTTGCTCTCAAAATGCTATTTACATCTCAAAATCATTTGATAATTAATGCCTCCTAATAGTAACAAAACAAAGATATTTACCTCAAATTTAAATAAGGAATTCATAATAACAGTTTTCTAATATAAAATGACATAAAAGTTTTTCTTTTGCTCTTTTAAATAATTACTGATTTTATTTAGTGATTAATATTTGGCAAGCACTATTATAAACACCTTAGAAGTATGACATTACTAAATCTTTACAACCATTTGCCTATGGTAGGTGCTATTGTTTATCATTTGGACTTTTCAGGTGGGAAGCTGAGAACTGAGAAGATAAACAGTTTATTCAATATTGCACAAATGAAAGTGATGGGAGTGTGATGGAGGCAAGGGAGGATAACATCAAAACTCACAATACTTAGCCACTAATCTTTGCTGTCTTTCATGTAAAGAAATAGTAAATAGGTTAGATAATTATACACAGAGAATAGTGAAAGCATTAATATGAAACAATTAGGTTTAGACTGCATAAAAGGGTATCACCAAAAAATTCAAATATAAAGTTGCAAAGACACAGGACTGCAGGTGTTTTGGTTTTTCAGTTTTTGCTTGTTTGTTTTGCATTGCAGGAGATGGAACATAGGTCCTGTACATGTTAGGCAAATGCTGTACCACTAAGCCAGATCTGAAGCACAGGGACACATATTTTATGGAAATTTACTTATTCAAAGCCCAAATTCCCTCCAATTACTATTTCTACAGTATTTGTATTGCTAATAAGCTGGGTGATAACCAAGGCTGGAATAAGATAATTAAACAATATGAAATCTCTTCATTCACCTCCTATCTCCATCATAAGTACTCAGTCTAATCACTATGATTTTTTTCTTTATTCCTAAATCATTTCAAAAAGCAACAGAAAATGAACACTAAACCTTCTGGAACAACAATGGTGGGGGCAGAGGAGGGGGGTGGACACAGAAAATAACATAGGAGGGTAGCTCCTCCACAAAATGGATACATTGAAAGTGTATGTATCTCAGTGACAGAGAGTTTGTCTAACATGCCAGAGGCCTTGGGTTTCTTCCTCAGCATTTACAGGGAAAAAAATGTTAGTGAAAAACAAAAACATAAGTGAAACAGTGATATAAAGATTTCAATGTCTTATTTTAAAAACTAATACATTCTAATTGAGTCTCCTGAACTTCAAATGCAAAGAGAGGAAAAACCCAAGTAATAAAGAAAATATTATTATGCAATACAACCAGCTTCCAATGACTCAAGCCTGTAATCCTAGCTACTCAGGAGGCAGAAATCAGGAGGATCTTGGTCCAAAGTCACACCCTGACAAATAGTTCAAAAGACCTTATCTGGGAAAAAATCCATCACAAAAAGGACTGGTGGAGTAGGCTCAAGTGCCTAAGAAATCTTGAAGCCCTGAGTTCAACACCAGTACCGCAAAAAAAATAAAGAAGAACATAACGAAGGAAAATTGACTTTGAATTTTAAAACCTAGTGGAGTAGAATATGGATATAATATTTAATTCCAATTCAACTATGACTTTAAAAAGATTATAGTATGAAAAGAATAAAATGAAATCTGTAAGTGTTGTAAAATTATTTTAAAATTAAGACTAAAATTTAAATTTCAGAAACACAATTATAAATTTGAAAGAAGCATTAAAAATTAATTATCAAAATACAGACTTACTCTTGCATAATGATCTTCATTTAAATCCTGATGCTCGCCCATATCCACCCCAACGGTATGAGGAGGAAGGCTAGGGCTAAAAGCCATGAGATCTGTCTTGGGTGGCACCTCTCCAGAGCACACCCTCTGCCGCCTCTGCTGTGAGTACGACCAGCTCCCCACCGCGCTGGAGCACACCAGCATGGGCTTCCCAGGCCCGCACATGCTCCCGGGGGGCGCCGCTGAGCAACGCAGCGCGGTGTACAGCAGCAACGTGAGCACCAGCAGACTGGACACCACGCAGATGGCAATGATCAGGTACACGTTGACATTCACCAGCGCTACCTCTGGGTCTGCAGCGTTCACCAATGCCCTCGAAGAGGCCTTTGGTGTCTGACCACCGTCCACCAAAGACACCAGCACGGTGGCAGTGGCCATCAGCGCTGGCTCGCCATGGTCCTTCACCAACACCAACAAGCGCTGACGCGGCGCATCAGCCTCGTCCAGGGCGCGCGTCGTGCTGATCTCGCCCGTGTACAGCCCCACGCGGAACGGGCTGCGCGCACCACCCGCCGCCGGCTGCAGCTCATAAGACAGCCACGCGTTGTAGCCAGAGTCCGCGTCCACCGCGCGCACCTTCGCCACCACGTGGCCCGCGCCCACTGACCGCGACACCAGCTCGCTCACCGCGCCGCCCACAGCAGGCCCCAGCAGCGCGGGCGCATTGTCGTTCTCATCCAGCACGAACACCTGCAGCGTCACGTTGCTGCCCAGGGGCGGCACGCCAGCGTCGCGCGCGCTCACCTGGAACTGCAGCAGCTCCAGCTCCTCGTGGTCCAGCGGCTGCAGCGCGTACACCTTGCCGCTCTCCGCGTGCACCGACACGTAGCTCGACAGCGCGCGCTCGCCCACCCGCCGCTCCACCAGCGAGTAGGACACCAGCGCGTTCTCCTGCGCGTCCACGTCCCGCGCCGACACCGTGAAGATGTGCGAACCCGGCGCGTTGTTCTCCTTCACGAACACCGTGTACTCGGGCTGCGCGAACGCAGGCGCGTTGTCGTTCACGTCGGCCACCTCCACGGACACGCTGGCCGTGGCCCACAGCGAGGGCGAGCCCCCGTCCCGCGCGGTCACCACCACCTTATAGTCAGATATGGTCTCTCGGTCTAAGGCGCCGTCAAGGACCAGGGAATAGTAATTCTTGAAAGTGGACACTAGCTTGAAGGGAACTTCTGGCTTCAGAGAGCAGGTCACCTGCCCATTGACTCCAGAGTCACGGTCCGACACGCTGATTAGGGCAATGACAGTACCCAACTGAGTGTCCTCTTGGATAGGCAAAGATAAAGAAGTCAGTGCAATCTGTGGCACATTATCATTTTTATCCAACACTCTCACTAAAACCGTGCAATGGCCCACCAGCGGAGGGTGTCCTTTGTCCGTCGCATCAACGCGGATTTTGTATAAATTTACTTGCTCAAAATCCAAATTTCCTTGAATTACAATTTTTCCTGTATTTGGATCTATATTAAACTGCTTGGTTACCATGGGTGCAACTAAGCTATTAAAAGAATACGAAACTGCCCCATTCGTTCCTTCGTCTTGATCAGAAGCGTTCAGTCTGATGACTGTTGTTCCATTGTCTGAGTTTTCAAATATTCTAACTTCGTATTCAGACTGTTCGAACCTAGGAGCATTATCATTCACATCCAGCACGACGACCAGCAGTTGAACAGAGCCTGTGAGTTCAGGTTTGCCTCCATCGGTGGCCATCAGGAGCAAGTTATGTTCAGGGGCGTCCTCTCTATCCAAGGATTTTCTTAACACGAGCTCGATTTGTTTGTTGTCATCGCTGTTTGTTTTCACATCTAGCCCAAAGTATTCGCTGGGACTGAGCTTGTAGGTTAAGATGGAATTTGATCCAACATCTGCATCCGATGCGCCCTCTAGTGGAAACAGAGAATCTGGCAGCCTAGATTCGTAAATCGGCAATCTTTGTTCCTTTATTGGGAACACAGGAGGGTTGTCGTTAATGTCCTTCACCTCCACCTCCACATGGAAAACCTGCAGCGGCCTGTCCACGATCACCTCCAGGTGGATGCTGCACTCCGTGCTCCGCCCGCACAGCTCCTCCCGGTCGATCCGAGAATTCACAAACAAAATGCCATTCTGCAGATTTACCTCCAGAAGGTCCCTGTGGCCTGTGGACTCCACCCGAAACAGGCGCGGCACCAGCTCCGCCAGCTCCAGTCCCAGGTCCTGCGCGATGCGGCCCACGAAGGTGCCGTGTTTGGCCTCCTCGGGAACCGAGTAGTGAAGCTGGCCGCTCCCCGCCTCCCAGGCTGCGAGGAGCAGAAGCGAGAGCAGCAGGCACCGTGTTCCCAATCTTCCTTCCGTAGTTAAATCCATGTCAAATATTTCTTGATGTATTTCCATTAGAAGATTTTTCTCGACATAAGGTGAAACGCTATATGATTTAAAGTCTGTTAATTCATTTTTTCCCTGTCCGCCATCATTCAGCAATCTTGGAAAGATGCACTTTAAAGAGGAAGGAGCATTGCACAGTAGCTGAATGTGACTTCGTGGTAAACAGCGACATCATGCGGCTCCAAAGGGTAAGAACTGAGTTCATATCACTGCACTATATTCTGATTCTTTAAATTGATATATACCATACTTTACCTCGATTGTGAAAGCTCCTCTTTTTGTAATTTATAGAATCAGTGTCTTCTCGTCTCACTTCCTTTATAATTTAGAGTAAAGTCTATTATTTTCATAGCGAAACAACTTTTCTCCCAACATTTTAAACACTTACGTCAACCTGTTTGGAAATTTTCAATGTGATGTAAGTATGTTGGAAGCGAGAAGTGTGAACTCTCCAAAACATTTTGGGAACAACAGAAACTATACTCTTATCATAGTACACACTATTATATATTGCTCTGGGGAAATAATGTAATTTGAAACTAACTAATTTTGTCTAAGTATTTACAACCTTACAGATGATTGAGGTCCACTTTCTTTGCTCAGTAAATATCAAATATGCTTAAGGTTTTTTGTGTAATAACAGAAGATGATTTTTATTGCAATATTTTTAGATAGAGTTTTTCTATGTAGCCCAGGCTGACCTGGAACTCAAGATACTCTTGCCTCAGCCTCCCCAGTAGTGGGATTACAGGCATGCACTACACACCTAGATTCACAACACTGTTTAATTTCTGGGCAGTTATATTCCTCCCACTAAAAATTTCCCCCCACATATTTCACAACTTCAAATTCTAGTAGAAAGTACACTCACTGTTATTGCTGTTATTGATCCTTCAGCTGTTTGTAAATAACCTCATCCTTTCCTCTGAACCTCCACCTCACCATATCCTACATCCATTAGTGTTCTCATACTCTTTGGTGTTTCAAATAAGATCTTTCTGGAGTATCCTCAAATCCACATCCATGTCTCTTCTATATTCATAATTATCATTTTAATTCCTACATGCTGACTCCTAGACAATTTGTTTAATATAGGAGCATGACTAATCATTATTAACCCATCAGATTCCAACCTCTGAAATTCACGTTTTGGTTTAATGGCACAAACATTCTCCCTATCACCTGTAGCAATTTTTTATTACTCTTTCTCCCTACTAGCCTTATTCTAAGTCTAACTAGAGTTTGTCTGTCTTTCATATACACCTTATTTATCTTTAAAAGTACAGGTTTCATTGAATTGCACTAAACCTGAAGATTCAAGATATTAGCATCACTTCTAGGTGACCAACAAAGTGATCGTAAGACAACTCTTCAAGAGTTATTTTCAATTTGTCTCCAATATGAATCTTATTTTGCAGATGATATAGAACACTTGCTTGCCCTTCTCCAATAAAATCTTTTCTCTAGCTGGTTCTTTTAATACCCCTAATACTTACCTATAAAAGTATTACCATCATACTACAGTCAAGCCCAAATATCAAATTGACCATTAATTCATCCTTAATATCAATTGGAGGTGAGTAAACTCATTGAAAGAAGAAAATAACAGCTACCAATAAAACTTTTCAAGTGATCCTTGTCATTCCCAATTCCTCCACTTTTCTGTCTATATTAAGCCTCACAATTGTAATATAATGCTCTCCCTTTTATGAGAAACTACCCATTAAAATAATTAAGTTGGATCTTGGGTTTTGTATTCCTGTTTACAAATTTTCTATTGTAATTCTTTCAAACAAAGATTTCATGTATTAACTGATAACAACTCCCAAAAGGAGAAGTTCCTTTGCTTAGAAGAATATAAGCAATCACAAATGATATATTGATCTGTGGTTGATTGATGGAAGGTTTTCTATGGAGGCTAACATTTGTCATGTACACATATATACCTCCTACACTACATTTCTACTGGTAAAAATTAACAAAACTTAAAACATCATATTCCTCCTTGCATTGCAGTTCCCCAAAACTTAGTCCAACTGAAATGGTTGCAATAATCTTACTGGTTCCAGGCAAAAATTATAAAACACTGCTGAAATCCTTTATGTAAAACAACTTAACATGGAAATAAAATTTTTTTACCATCTCCTGAAAAAGACATGCAATTTCCTTCATTTTATTTATTCAAATAGTTCATTTTAGTTGAGGGGAAAGATTATATGTAGAAAAAATGACTAATAAATTTCTCTATAAACAAATAGCTTCCTCCCAATGCAAAGAAAAAATTACATCAATAATGTAAACCAGAGAGTTTATATTTTTTTATTTTGTTTGTTTCAGACAGTATCTCACTAGGTATCCCAGGCTGGCCTGGAACTCCCCATCTTCCTGCCTCAGCCTCCCTGGTGCTGGAATTACAGGTGTGCTGTACTACATCCTCCTGGGACTTTATATTTCAAACTAAATTAACTTTATTTTTTTAAGCTGATGGTTGTTAATCACAAACTTGCACAGAGACAAGAACTCATTCTCAGTTTCTAAGACTTCCCCAAAGTAATCCAGAGTAGTATAAATATCTAAATAATATAGTAGAATGATATTTATAAAATTAAATGCATATAAGAATGAAAGAAATAGTCAGTGCAATCAAAAGGTAACTAACATTTTATAACATGAAGTATGTAATATTTATTACCTGTTAAACTCATTTTCTCCCACCCAGAAAAAGAGTAGAAAAGCTGTCTCACTATCTGAGATAGAGAAGACTCCTGCCTATGGTGCATTTCAATGGTCAGTTTTGTTTAAACAAACCTATTAGTAAACAACAAATTCAAGAAAGGACTTTGTATCAGAGTATGTTTTTGCTTCTTCTTAATCTAAAAGTTAAAAGCAACAATAAATAGTAGAATTTTATTTTCTTATGCTTTTCTTTTTGTAGAGACAGGGTCTTACTATGCAGCCTAGGCTGGCTTCCAGATAAGTGCTGGGATTAGAGTTATGATCTACTAGACCTGGCCAATAGTACAATTCTTTAACCAAATATGTTAGGATTTTCACAACTGGAGGAATTCACAGTGATTTCTCACCAATATGAATAATTTATAAAGTGAAAAATATGAAAATTCCAAGAAAATTAAGTCATTCTTACACCAAATGTCAATGCTAGGATTTGAGACAAAATAAATTATGATATATACACACAAAGGAAAACCATAGTTCTAGATTAAGGGATAAAAAAATCTCCTGTGTATGAGCCATGAATACAAAGATACACTAAGTGAAAAAATAACAACAAAATCATACAAATATTATGTTTGTAAAGCAAATAGAAAAATTTATTCATATAAAAATACCTCTAGGAAGATAACCTAGAAAATGTTTAAAGTACTCAAATAAGAATATTAAGTAGCTTTGTGATAACTGTGCTCTTTTATACTACTAGAATTTTAAATGGTTTATATGCACTTCCTATTCAATAACCAATAAAATGAAACCATTAACATTAAAATTTTTGAGTTATCAAATTCATCATAAGTATGCAAAGCCAACTGTTGAAATGACTCATTTGCTCCACAAATATGAGTGAAAAAAGAAGCTGCATTTTTATAGTAAACTATTAAATAATTGCCCTTCAATAGAAAGAAAAAAGCAAAATTGATGAACTGGTGTAAAAACATTTCCATGTAATCATAGAGACATTGACAATAAATAATTCTCAAATATGTCTCATAATGTTTGTACAATACTTCATAGAGATTAAATATGAAAGTGTTCATACTACAAAATATTTTGAAAATACTTTATTTACACCAGGATAAAAGATTAATTAGTTACTTAATAGAAACTGCAACTAGCCGTGGTTGCAAACATCTAATCCCAGCACTCAGAGGCAGAGGAAAGAAAATGGACAGTTTAGGTACATCTCAAAAAAAAGACTTCAATTTAGATATACTACAATGATATGTTCAGTAAGCTAGATTTTTTGAAGTAACTACCTAAAGAATACAAATTAGTACAAATTAAGATATATCTAAGAAATAGTTGCAATAATTATGCATTATCCTTTAACTCTAAAAAAATAGAGAAACACTTGAAATATTTAATACAAAAGAATTAGGAGGAATATTGGGGTAAGATTTATGAAACTCACGTTGTCTGCAGAGGTGGGACCCTGAGGTAGGCTGGGGCTGAAGACCATGAGGTCAGTCTTGGGTGGCACCTCCCCAGAGCACACCCTCTGCCGCCTCTGCTGTGAGTACGACCAGCTCCCCACCGCGCTGGAGCACACCAGCATGGGCTTCCCAGGCCCGCACATGCTCCCAGAAGGCGCCACTGAGCAACGCAGAGCTGTGTACAGCAGCAACGTGAGCACCAGCAGACTGGACACCGCGCAGATGGCGATGATCAGGTACACGTTGACATTCACCAGCGCAGCCTCAGAGCTGGAAGCTCCAAATGAAGTTCGCAAGACTTTTGGCGCCTGGCTGCTGTCCACCAGAGACACCAGCACAGTGGCTGTGGCCATCAGCGCCGGCTCGCCATGATCCTTCACCAGAACCAGAAGGCATTGGCGCGGCGCGTCAGCCTCGTCCAGGGCGCGCGTCGTGCTGATCTCGCCCGTGTACAGCCCCACGCGGAACGGGCTGCGCGCACCACCCGCCGCCGGCTGCAGCTCATAAGACAGCCACGCGTTGTAGCCAGAGTCCGCGTCCACCGCGCGCACCTTCGCCACCACGTGGCCCGCGCCCACTGACCGCGACACCAGCTCGCTCACCGCGCCGCCCACAGCAGGCCCCAGCAGCGCGGGCGCATTGTCGTTCTCATCCAGCACGAACACCTGCAGCGTCACGTTGCTGCCCAGGGGCGGCACGCCAGCGTCGCGCGCGCTCACCTGGAACTGCAGCAGCTCCAGCTCCTCGTGGTCCAGCGGCTGCAGCGCGTACACCTTGCCGCTCTCCGCGTGCACCGACACGTAGCTCGACAGCGCGCGCTCGCCCACCCGCCGCTCCACCAGCGAGTAGGACACCAGCGCGTTCTCCTGCGCGTCCACGTCCCGCGCCGACACCGTGAAGATGTGCGAACCCGGCGCGTTGTCTCCTTCACGAACACCGTGTACTCGGGCTGCGCGAACGCAGGCGCGTTGTCGTTCACGTCGGCCACCTCCACGGACACGCTGGCCGTGGCCCACAGCGAGGGCGAGCCCCCGTCCCGCGCGGTCACCACCACCTTATAGTCAGATACGGTCTCTCGGTCCAGCTCGCCATCCAGCACCAATGAATAGTAATTCTTGAAAGTGGATACCAACTTGAAGGGGACATTAGGTGTCAAGGAGCAGGTCACCTGCCCATTGACACCTGAGTCACGGTCTGACACGCTGATCAGAGCGATGACTGTGCCCTGGGGAGCATCCTCTTTGATAGGCAAGAAAAGTGAGGTTATGGCCATCTCAGGGGCATTATCATTCACATCCACTAGTTTTACTATAACTTTGCAGTGTCCTGCTAATGGGAATGTGCTTCTGTCCATGGCATCAATATTAATTTCATATAATTTGCAGTCTTCGTAATCCAGTTCTCCCTTGACTTTTACTTCACCACTAGTGGAGTTGATTGTAAATTTAGATTTTACATTGTCAAAAACAAGATTACTAAAGAAATACACTATTTCCTTATTAATGCCCTCATCTTCATCTGAGGCGTTTAATTTAATTACCAATGTCTCAATCGGTGTATTTTCCAGTAATCTGACATTATAAATGGACTTCTCAAATTTGGGGGCATTATCGTTCGCATCCAATACATTGATAAGTAACTGAACTGTACCTGTTAGTTCAGGTTTTCCTCCATCAATTGCAATTAGCAACAAACGATGTTCTTGTATTTCTTCTCTGTCTAAGGATTTCTTCAAAACTAGCTCTAAAACGTTCGTTTCTTCTTCATTTCTTTTAACATCCAAGTCAAAATATTCATTAGGATTAATCTTGTATCTCAACTCTGCATTTGATCCAATGTCCAAATCATAGGCGCCCTCTAACGGAAACCGCGAATCTGGCATTCTTGACTCTAAAATAAGCAATGTTTGTTCTTGTCTAGAGAATCTAGGCGAATTATCATTAATGTCCTTCACCTCCACCTCCACATGGAAAACCTGCAGCGGCCTGTCCACGATCACCTCCAGGTGGATGCTGCACTCCGTGCTCCGCCCGCACAGCTCCTCCCGGTCGATCCGAGAATTCACAAACAAAATGCCATTCTGCAGATTTACCTCCAGAAGGTCCCCGCGGTCCTTGGTCGCCACCCGGAACAGGCGCGGCACCAGCTCCGCCAGCTCCAGTCCCAGGTCCTGCGCGATGCGGCCCACGAAGGTGCCGTGTTTGGCCTCCTCGGGGACCGAATAGTGCAGCTGGCCGCTCCCCGCCTCCCAGGCTGCGAAGAGCAGAAGCGAGAGCAGCAGGCGCTGGGCTCCCGGACTTCCTCTCTGAGAATATACCATCGCAGTCTTGGTCCACTTCTCAAATCTTCTACTGCATCACCAGGAAATATTCTTTGGTACTGAGTTATAAATTACTATTTACATATGTATTTTAGTTCCCCCACCTTTTTTTTTAGCTTCTGTAGCAGAGCAAAAAATGGAAGATCCTTTTTCGTTCTAACTAAAATGTACTCACTGTATCCTTCTGATGTTGGAGAGGGGGAAAACAATCGCGGTGTATAGCGACATCATGTGGATAAAATGGTATTTTACTTTGTTTTGCTTTGTCTTAGATTCATGAGATATTTCTGAAATATTACCTAATTTCAATTCCTCTGCATATCCGTTCTCTCTAATCAAACTATATCATTGAATCTAAATTAAAATTCATCAGTATGACATATTGTTAAAAATATCACAAAGTCAATACATCTGCAGTAATGACACTCCAATCCTTACTAACTTGTATTGATGTATTTTATTTAGGGAGGGGCTTATATATTCCTAAACTGATAAAAATAATTTTTAAAGAGTTATAATTTTGACTTTTCTTTCTTTAGATATATCTTGTTAAAAATTTTAATTTATATATAATTTTAAAGATGTGTACTACCTCTTTTGCAAAAAAAATTCAAAATCTTATCTAATTTAAAATGTTTAATACTGGCAACTTATTGATGTCATTTTCAAAATATCTAAAGTCAGTTGAATAACATTCTTTTTAGAATGTTACTGTTCAAATACATGAAAATTTAGTTCTTTAATTCCTCTGTAACAACTACCTACTTTTTGTGTTGGCTCACTATAATTTGGGGATTTCAATTTTCAAGATGTCAAAAGCATAGTAAAACAATTTTGGTCGTATCATGGTGCTATTTTCAAATTAGAGCATCTAGACAGCATTTCTTCAAGTTACTACGACTATATAAAATATGTACTCATATATCTTTCATTGATGCAACAAATCAAAATCCTCTTATTGTCTATAAGATGTAGCATCCCACAAAATGTTTAGGTTCTGATAAAAGTGATTATGTTAAAAAGAATATCACATTAACCAACCTATTGCTATATTAGTTTAATTACTTTTCAATTCCCCAGTTGTTCTCCTGCATGGACTTGCATTTGGATTTGATTTAATAAATATAGTGGACTTCCCTAAATTAATATGGACAAAAGAAAATGTCACTGACATTTCTATTGAGGATATACTTAACATTCTGCATATATATATATATATATATATTCCATGGAATTTCTTAAACATTACAAAATCTTCCTTAATCTGTGAGAACAAGAAGAACTAAGAGATCTGGGTGTTTTGTATTTAAAATATAGCATGGCAATCCCAGTAAAATACACACACACAAATATATATGAAATATAGCTTGGAAAAAATAAGAAGTTACCAAAAATGAAAAGTCAATTGAAATTCATTTCTTTTCCTGAGTGTAAATAGCTAATAGATGAAATAACACAATATAACAAATTGTTTTGGATATGATCTTTAAAAGTATAAGTATCACTTACTTTTAGGTTTTTGTAAGATTTATATTCTTAATATTATGATCTTAATATTCAGATCATTAAATACTTCCATAGTTTAGATCTTAAGTGACCCCCTCAAAGATCCATGTGGTAAAGGCTTGCTCTCCAGATTGGCACTTTGGGGAAATACGAGGCCTGTAAGAGGTGGTGCCTTGTGAGAGGGTTTAGGTCACTGGGAACAAGTCTTAAAAGGAATTGTGGGGCCCAGGCCCTTTCTCTTTCTTTTTCTTGCTGCCTTGCCTTGAAGTTAGTGGTTTTCTCTGCCATGCACTCCCGATGATGATGTTCTAGGACTAAAAGTAAGGGGACCAACCAATCATGGACCAGAAACTCTAAAAACCAAAATCAACTTTTACTTTTTGTAAGTTGACCATCTAAGGTATTTTGTTATAGAGTTGGAAAGTAGCCTAACGAAAACAGTGATCAATTTTCAAAACTACTTAACTAATAGTTACTGATAGTAGTGATTTAAAAATGCTATAATGCATGATGGTAGAAGAGAAGAAAGTAATATTAAAATCTCTGAAAACAACATTAGCCAGTATTATTTTCTACTACAAGAGTGATTGATGTGAACCTAGGCTATGGCCTAGGTTATGGTAGAATGCTATACAAAACATATGAAATATCCTTTGAAAAAGTAAACATAAGTCTTTAAAAGTGAAACCGTCAGTGTGGTATTAGCAACACATGCATTGTAATTTACAGACTTTTTTTGATAAATATTGAGTATTTAAAGTGATACACTCAATGAAGAAAAGGTCATACTTTTGATTCACATGCTTCTCTTAGTATGGAAAAATATTTTGTATTATTTTTTATCTACTTTTATTCGACATTTGACTCATCTTCATATCTGTTAAATATGTTTACTTTTTGAATTATCACCCATATCTGCTTTTAATAATCAACTCTTGATTTGATGATTACTTTCTCAATAATTATGTTCTCTGGGCTGAATTCCATGGAAGACTCCATAGGAAGAGAAAATTTCTTTACGTTTTCTTCTAAGCCATTATTTAAATCAAATATTATAGATTACTTTCTTGTCTGATCTAGTTCCTTATTTTCTTCTCTAGAATTTCAGTCCTATTTAAGTACTACCACAGTATATAAATAGAATTCCTTCTTTAAGAATGATTAGCGCTGGGAATGGAACACAAGCTTTCCTGAATATTAAACAGTTCTATCATTGAGCAACACTCCCAGGCTGAGAGTGAATTTAGACTAAGAGAACTATGTAATGATTTAAGGTGTTTCTCACTTAGTTTCCTAACAGAATTCAATAAATTTTCAGTAGCCCAAGAAAGTTTAAATTGCATGAGTGCAAAGAAAAAAATTTTAATAACCTGTATTTATCTTCTCCTATAAAAAATCATATAGGTCTGCAAGATTGCAAAGAGATAAAAGAAAAATTTAAAGCAATTTTGTAAATATGTATAAAGATTTAAGCAGCTTTGCTAATTCATCCCTCAAAAATGTTTGAAAATTAATTTATCTTACTGTGTGCATAGGTAAACATCTTAAGATTACTTACACAATGGTTCAGAAAAGAAAGAGTAATTGCCCTATAAAATTATGGTAAAATATTCATATTATATAAAGAAAATATTTTTCTATTAGACAGAAAAGTATGAGAAAAATTCTAAAGTGCTCCTGAGAAAATAAAAATTAAATAGAACATAATTTTATACAATTATATTGATTTTATAAGTGCCAAATGAGCCACAGAGTAAAATACAAAATCAAAAAGTGTTCATGCCCAGAATACTTAAAAAGTTTTTAAAGATCTGGGAAAAAAAGAAAGTTCCTTAGGAGAAAATAAAGGAAAATGAAAAGAAAAAACACAATATAGAAAATAGACAATAGGCTTGAACAACTATTGAGCACAGTAAGAATTTTAAATGGCCAATAATCACATGGAAAAGTGATCAATCTCATATAAATTCAGGAAATATTAAATGAATTCAAATTGAGACTAAAAAGTGCTGAAGTCATAGAGTACCTGCCTCCAAAGTGGGAAGCTCTGAGTTCAAACTTAATCCCAGTACGGCCAAAACAAAATCAAAATGAGAATTAAAAAAACATACCCAGTAAAATGACTAATATGAAAGTAACCTAACAAATTTAAAGATGATGTGGAAGAGCTGGAACTCTTATATACCTCTTAGAGGAGCATGTTGAACAGGGAAAAAAAGCCTTGGAAAATTGGTTGTCATTATCTATTAAAGATAAAGATACACACATATTCTGTGATTCATTAACCCAACACCTAGGTATATACTTAAGAGAAAGGCGGGTACATAGCCATCCGAAGAAATGCACAAATATATTTATGAACAGCATTATTTGAAGTAGACAGAAGAAGACCCAATGCAAACTCCTCAGCTATGGAATAATTCAAAGTAAAATTATAAAATAACACTTGTCGTCAGTCATACCACCCAAAGGCGGCCAAGCTCCTCTGATCTCAGAAGCTAAGCATGATTGGGCCTGGTTAGTACTTGGATGGGAGACTGTCTGGGAATACCTGGTGCTATGAGATTTTGGCCCTGCCAGCTCTCTTCCTCCCTCCCTCACTGTCTCTTCTTTGGGGTAAATCAAATAAAGATATATTTTAAGTACATATATAAATGTCACAATGTATTCCCCTTGTACAACTATTATATTCAAATAAAAAATAACACTAGAAATAGAATTCAATGAATTTCAATTACATGTAACAAAATAAATCAATAGACAATGATGAATGACAAATACAAAGGACACAAAAACAAAGGCACAAGCAAAACATTTTCTGCCATTCTAATGAAATAAATTCAGGAAACATTCCACAATAGCCAGTTATTAATATCAAATATGGGCCTGGACGTGTGGCTCAAGTGCTAAAGCACCTGCCTAGCAAGCACTCAGGCCCTGAATTCAAACACCAGTACTAACAAACAAAAAAAAAATTCAAGTGAAAATGATTGTAAAATGTTTTCTTAAAAGCTGATTGTCGCTAAAAATAAAAACGGTGAAGAGGATAGCGAACAGAATATATGAATGTGTGTTGATAAGAAAGTATAAAATCAAGGCAATATACATTGCCTTGATGTTCTACCACTCTAAAAGGAAGTGGAGAGCCTCACTATGTTGTCCCCACTAGGCTCAAACTGTTGGGCTCAAGCTAGTCTCCAGTCTCAGATTCCTGGATAGCTAGGCGCATGCCACTGCTCTGGGCTTCAAAAGATTTTACTTAAAAAGTACATGTAAACAGAAGAAAGAGAAATAAAGACAGAGAAATTAGATTCTCGGTTGAAAATAACGAAAAAAAGCGAAATGTATGAAAACTGAGATTGAACCAAAAAAAAATACTATAAACTAACCTTTCCAAAGGAATCCCCAGTTGGCTGCAGTTGATCCTCTCTGTCCCTAGAGTCAGGTACACAGGGGCTGAAGGCCATGAGATCAGTCTTGGGTGGCACCTCTCCAGAGCACACCCTTTGCTGCCTCTGTTGTAGTACCAGCAACTCCCCACCGCGCTGGAGCACACCAGCATGGGCTTCCCAGGCCCGCACATGCTCCCAGAAGGCGCCACTGAGCAACGCAGAGCTGTGTACAGCAGCAACGTGAGCACCAGCAGACTGGACACCGCGCAGATGGCGATGATCAGGTACACGTTGACATTCACCAGCGCTACCTCTGGGTCTGCAGCGTTCACCAATGCCCTCGAAGAGGCCTTTGGTGTCTGACCACCGTCCACCAGAGACACCAGCACGGTGGCGGTGGCCATCAGCGCTGGCTCGCCATGGTCCTTCACCAACACCAACAAGCGCTGGCGCGGCGCATCAGCCTCGTCGAGGGCGCGCGTCGTGCTGATCTCGCCCGTGTACAGCCCCACGCGGAACGGGCTGCGCGCACCACCCGCCGCCGGCTGCAGCTCATAAGACAGCCACGCGTTGTAGCCAGAGTCCGCGTCCACCGCGCGCACCTTCGCCACCACGTGGCCCGCGCCCACTGACCGCGACACCAGCTCGCTCACCGCGCCGCCCACAGCAGGCCCCAGCAGCGCGGGCGCATTGTCGTTCTCATCCAGCACGAACACCTGCAGCGTCACGTTGCTGCCCAGGGGCGGCACGCCAGCGTCGCGCGCGCTCACCTGGAACTGCAGCAGCTCCAGCTCCTCGTGGTCCAGCGGCTGCAGCGCGTACACCTTGCCGCTCTCCGCGTGCACCGACACGTAGCTCGACAGCGCGCGCTCGCCCACCCGCCGCTCCACCAGCGAGTAGGACACCAGCGCGTTCTCCTGCGCGTCCACGTCCCGCGCCGACACCGTGAAGATGTGCGAACCCGGCGCGTTGTTCTCCTTCACGAACACCGTGTACTCGGGCTGCGCGAACGCAGGCGCGTTGTCGTTCACGTCGGCCACCTCCACGGACACGCTGGCCGTGGCCCACAGCGAGGGCGAGCCCCCGTCCCGCGCGGTCACCACCACCTTATAGTCAGATACGGTCTCTCGGTCCAGCTCGCCATCCAGCACCAATGAATAGTAATTCTTGAAAGTGGACACTAACTTGAAAGGAATATTAGGTGTCAAGGAGCAGGTCACATCTCCGTTGGTTCCAGAATCAAGGTCCCACACGCTGATCAGGGCGATAACAGTGCCCAAGGAAGCACTTTCTCTGATTGGAAGTGATAGAGACTTGAATTCCAAATTCGGCACATTATCATTGGTGTCCTCTACTTCTACAATAACTCTACAATGGCCAGAGAGTGGGAGTTGTCCCTTGTCAGTGGCCTCTACGAGAATTTCATAGGATTTGCATTCCTCAAAATCAATATATCCATTTACAATAATCAGTCCTGCATTTGGGTCTATGTGGAACTTGTGTTTCACGTTTGGTGAAATATCGGCTGAAAATGAATAAATAATGTCCCCATTCAAACCTTCGTCTAAATCTGAGGCGTTAAGATTAATTAATAACGTTCCCTTTGGAACATTTTCTGGTAACTTCACTGTATACAGTGTTCTGTCAAAAACTGGAGCATTGTCATTGGCATCCAGAACTGTGACGAGTAACTGAACAGTGCCGGTCAGCTCGGGTTTGCCTCCATCCGTGACAGTGAGTAATAAAAATATCTCCGGAGTTTCTTCTCGGTCTAAAGATTTTCGTAATACAAGTCCAAGACCCTTTATCCGTTCATCACTGGATGGTTTTTCCACCGAAAAATACTCATTCGGGCTCAGTCTGTAAGTCAACAGAGCATTTGTTCCGATATCTGCATCCGACGCGCCCTCTAGTGGAATCCGAGTGTCAAGTGGCCTGGATTCTGCAATGAACAGATTCTTTTGTGTCCCCGGAAACACCGGTGGATGGTCGTTAATGTCCTTCACCTCCACCTCCACATGGAAAACCTGCAGCGGCCTGTCCACGATCACCTCCAGGTGGATGCTGCACTCCGCGCTCCGCCCGCACAGTTCCTCCCGGTCGATCCGAGAATTCACAAACAAAATGCCATTCTGCAGATTTACCTCCAGAAGGTCCCCGCGGTCCTTGGTCGCCACCCGGAACAGGCGCGGCACCAGCTCCGCCAGCTCCAGTCCCAGGTCCTGCGCGATGCGGCCCACGAAGGTGCCGTGTTTGGCCTCCTCGGGAACCGAGTAGTGCAGCTGGCCGCTCCCCGCCTCCCAAATTGTGAGAAGGAGAAAGGAGAGCAGCAAGCGCTGGGGTTCCTGTGAGCTTGCCCAGGAAAATTCCATCTCAAAGTACACGGGAACTTGTGCACAGGAACTTACATTTAAAAATATATAGGGGTCTCGTCTCAAAGTTAGGAGAAATCTTCTGATCAGTCCAGTGCCGCTGCATCCTCCATTTTCAGACTCCCGGTTGTGGATACAGCTTCCAATAAGAATGGGAGGGATTTTTTTCTTTCTTTCTCTCCTTTATTCTCTTAAAGGGGATCTATTTTATGGTAAAAGAGCGACACCATGTGGCTCCAAAACATAAGTATCGATTCCGAAAATCCACAAAACTAGAACTGCCAGCTCTAATTTGTGCTTAGGTTCTCCTTTTTTGCAGAATGGAATTACATTTTCTATCTCCAAGGTATGCATTTTGTACTTCTAGTTGATTGCGTGTGAGTAGTTTTGCTGAAGCGGCATCTTTTATCATGTGGAAATTCTTCTTTCATGTGAGTTTTAAGTATTTAGAGACACCCAGCTGTAGTTAATATATATTTTGTAACCATACAATTGCGAGGTGTTGATTGGGAAAATTCATAATAGATTCCTTGTGTTTCATAGAATGCTGGGGGTTCTTATTAATGATGACACCCTTTTAGTTCAGCCCTGGATTTGTATTACTGGTGTTGAATCATGAGAGGAACAGTACCTAGGGAACCTCTGATTGCAAGAACAAGCCACTGAAAGGGGAATTTACAAATATTTTGTTTCAAGAAATCAAAGACTATCCGAAATTAACTACATGTCTTCACTGTCACCTAAGGGTCAAATGTGCAAGGAAGTATTAACAAGGAAATAACAACTTGTAGTAGATAGCTAGTGTGGAAAAGTGTTCCAAATAATGTAAATAATTCACCTCCCAACAGCAAGGGTGGAATTCTCATTTTTACTTTCATGGTGTAGAAATTCCTGCCTGTTTTCCAGAATCTAAGATGCCTAATCTCTTATTTTCTCCTATTGTTCTCATATATTTTGATCAAACGCTATTTTACTACTTCCAATAACATTTTCTATTACTAAACAAATACAGTAATTTGTTTCCCCATCAGCTCTACACTCTATGTAAACCAATTTCTTCCATGTTATTACAAATGAAAAGTCCTCTGATCTTTGAGGAATTTCATGATCAAACCAATTGGACAGGTCTTTCACCCTTTTTTATAAGCTGCAGCACCCAGACGGAATCACCTGAGACATTTATTACTCTTATTTTTGTCTTGTGTATACTTGTCCTTGGGTATGTATGGCCTCTTTTGAAATAATAATTTTAAAGATAGTTGTTGTACATTTGTAGTTTAATAGCTCAGAGATAGTTATCTAGCATTTTCTGGATATTTATCCAATGGAAATGGTTAACTTTTCTTAAATTACCTATAATATGTGTTAATTTGAGGTGGTTCTATAGCTAGTCTGGAAAATATATTTCAGCACCTCTAATTTTGAAGAATCACAAAATGCAAAAATATTTTCCCTAAGACAATGTATATATTTTAATTTCCACATTGAAAATCTGAGTTTTACCTTAATTTTCATGCCAATTTTTGGCAATTGTGATCTTAGACTCATCTTGGGTCTTAATGGGAAATGGAGAGACTGAACAAATATAGTACAATATATTGTTCCATTAAAACTTAATATTGAAGGAGATGGTAGCCATTTCCAGACTCTATTTTCACTATTAAATTCATAAACTTTTTCCTCCAGGTTTGTTTAACAAAAAAAATCAATCTACTGAGAATAGTTTCAGGTTCTGTCTCTGTTTAGAGCCACACTCAGGAAAAGCAAATTTCTGAATCAAAAGAAAGTCAGAGTACTTTCATTGTTTAAGGGCCCAAATTGAACATTTTTACAAAATGATCATGAATGTCGGGCACACTGGAAGAAAGAAAAAAGAAGTCCCTTCTCACTTTGCTGATTTTACAGAATATTTAAATGCACAGATTAGAGATTCAATAGAATTCAAATGGATATTTATTTGAAATAAATACATATTAAATATTTATTTAGCATAGCACCAATACATCTCTAAGAAGAACAAATCTCCTTAGAAAAAGTTTTCAAAACATCTTTGCCAAGAGACTTTTAATTAAGAATTGCAAGGGAGAGCTGGATTCAAAGACTGAGGTCCCATACTGGGGGAGACAAGAACTTTGGATAACCCTATTATTTACAACAAGATGAAAACAGGACTAATAATGTAAGCATTGAACTGAGGCTGGGTATGCTCTGCCTAATACTTGATGGACGAGGGGGCAGAGAATGATAGTGCCATAAAATAAAAAATGGAAGAGGGGAAAGGGAGGAATGAGGAAAAGATCCATTTTAAATGTTTGACTCCCCACAAAATCATTGAGTATTAATCAGTTTTCATTTTGACTACAAATTCTTTCCAGGGTCAATGAAAATTGTATGGGAGCCCAACCAATTTCTCTTGGAGAAGAGAAATGAACATACACATGGGAGGAATAATTGTAAAATTGTTTCACTTGAATTTTATTTGGGGCCAGTTACCTGAAGGTTTCTACTTACTGTGTGGCAGATTGGCAGGCAGAATCCAGAGAAGTTTTACTAGTAAGGACATTGACAAAATAAACCTAATAAACCTAGTATCCTTACTCTTGTACACAAAGAAGCTAATGGATAAGAAGTATGAACCAGAACCATAAAATACTAGGGAAAGTTTTAAGTTACATACATAGTATTCCACTCAAGAAATTGTTCAAATGAAAACAATTCTTAACAAATTAAAACATTCTTTTCAAAAGGACATTTAAATATACTATAGGAGTATTAAATTTACACTTCAAATTGATATTTTAAATATTATTAATAAAAGTAAAAAGAAAGGAAAGATGGACAAAGATACAATTTTGAAAATAATAGTTGTTATTCTAGTGTTTTTTGACCCTTTGGGAAATCTAACAACATTTATGGTTTTGCCAAATAAGAGCATAAATCCTTTCAAAAGAAATACAGAAGATGAACTGAGACTCCAAAGAATGAATAAGAGAATAAAAGAGGCTACATAAAAGACAATTGGTAAATGAACTAATATTTGAAGCAGAAGACGTAAATGCATAACAAACAGGAGTAGTGAATATTTAATTGGGCTCAAAAAAAGGACAGTTACAAGTCTACTACCACTTAAAAGGAATTCCTAAGGAAAAGATACTGAAGCATTAGCCAGGGAATGGTTGACCGAAAGTTAGAGTTAATTTCTCTAAATAATGCAATTCATGCAAGAAAAAAATATTTCCATTTGTACCCAGCCATTGAGCAAAAAACAATCCCACTACTGCACTTGGCAACAAAACCAAACATTACACGTGTGAATCTCACGAGTAACTGATGATTTGATTCAAAATTTAGTCACAAAAAACTGACCGTTTTAATCACAAGAGTAGTGATAAGAAAATGTTGATACAAAGAACATAATGCAGTGCAATTCACTTTTAAGAAATTTCCAAAGGAATGAAAACACTACAGTATTAAAACAAGGACATTTTGTAAAGGATGAATAAAAAGAAAAATTACTCACTTTGTCAGAGAAATCAAGTTCTGCAACCAGTTGGTCCTCTTTATCTTGGTTAACAGGACATGGTGGAAGACTGGGGCTGAAGGCCATGAGGTCAGTCTTGGGTGGCACCTCTCCAGAGCACACCCTCTGCCTCCTCTGCTGTGTGTATGACCAGCTCCCCACCGCACTGGAGCACACCAGCATGGGCTTCCCAGGCCCGCACATGCTCCCAGAAGGCGCCGCTGAGCAACGCAGCGCGGTGTATAACAGCAACGTGAGCACCAGCAGACTGGACACCGCGCAGATGGCGATGATCAGGTACACATTGACATTCACCAGCGCAGCCTCAGAGCTGGAAGCTCCAACCGAAGTTCGCAAGACTTTTGGCTCCTGGCCACTGTCCACCAGAGACACCAGCACAGTGACGGTGGCCATCAGCGCTGGCTCGCCATGGTCCTTCACCAACACCAACAAGCGCTGGCGCGGCGCATCAGCCTCGTCCAGGGCGCGCGTCGTGCTGATCTCGCCCGTGTACAGCCCCACGCGGAACGGGCTGCGCGCACCACCCGCCGCCGGCTGCAGCTCATAAGACAGCCACGCGTTGTAGCCAGAGTCCGCGTCCACCGCGCGCACCTTCGCCACCACGTGGCCCGCGCCCACTGACCGCGACACCAGCTCGCTCACCGCGCCGCCCACAGCAGGCCCCAGCAGCGCGGGCGCATTGTCGTTCTCATCCAGCACGAACACCTGCAGCGTCACGTTGCTGCCCAGGGGCGGCACGCCAGCGTCGCGCGCGCTCACCTGGAACTGCAGCAGCTCCAGCTCCTCGTGGTCCAGCGGCTGCAGCGCGTACACCTTGCCGCTCTCCGCGTGCACCGACACGTAGCTCGACAGCGCGCGCTCGCCCACCCGCCGCTCCACCAGCGAGTAGGACACCAGCGCGTTCTCCTGCGCGTCCACGTCCCGCGCCGACACCGTGAAGATGTGCGAACCCGGCGCGTTGTTCTCCTTCACGAACACCGTGTACTCGGGCTGCGCGAACGCAGGCGCGTTGTCGTTCACGTCGGCCACCTCCACGGACACGCTGGCCGTGGCCCACAGCGAGGGCGAGCCCCCGTCCCGCGCGGTCACCACCACCTTATAGTCAGATATGGTCTCTCGGTCTAAGGCGCCGTCAAGGACCAGGGAATAATAATTCTTGAAGGTGGACACCAGTTTAAAGGGGACATCTGGCATCAGGGAACAGGTCACCTGTCCGTTGGCTCCTGAGTCCAGGTCCGATACGCTAATCAGGGCAATGGCGGTGCCAAGGGCAGAGTTTTCTAATACAGGTGATGATAATGATTTGATGATCAATTCAGGTACATTATCATTGGTGTCCACAATTTCCACTAGAACTGTGCAGTGATCTGTCATTGGAGGATTTCCTTTATCTGTCGCCTCTACCTGGATTTCATACGACTTAGTTTCCTCAAAATCTATATTGCCTTTCACACTGATATATCCATTGACTGGATCTAAATGGAATTTCGACAGAATCTCAGCTGATATGTCTGTATGGAAGGAAAACACAATATCCTTATTAACTCCTTCATCCAAATCAGAGGCGTTAACAGTCACCACTAGGGTACCATTTGGTGCATTTTCGAATAATCTGACTTTGTAGAGCATCCTCTCAAAAACTGGGGCATTGTCGTTTACATCTAGGACAGTGATCTTCACTTGAGTGGTGCCAGTGAGCTCTGGTTTCCCACCATCAATTGCTGTTATTAGTAAATGATGTTCAGGAGTGTCCTCTCGATTTAAAACTTTTTTCAACACCAGTCCAAGGGATTTAATTTCCTCATCATTTCTTTTAACGTCCAAAGTAAAATACTCACTGGAGTCAAGACTGTAAGTCAACAATGAGTTTATTCCGCTATCTGCATCTGATGCGCCCTCTAGCGAAAACCGAGAGCCAACCTGTCGGGATTCATAAATAAACAGATTCTTTACTGCCATTGGAAAAACAGGCGGGTTGTCGTTAATGTCCTTCACCTCCACCTCCACATGGAAAACCTGCAGCGGCCTGTCCACGATCACCTCCAGGTGGATGCTGCACTCCGTGCTCCGCCCGCACAGCTCCTCCCGGTCGATCCGAGAATTCACAAACAAAATGCCATTCTGCAGATTTACCTCCAGAAGGTCCCCGCGGTCCTTGGTCGCCACCCGGAACAGGCGCGGCACCAGCTCCTCCGGCTCCAGTCCCAGATCCTGAGCGATGCGGCCCACGAAGGTGCCGTGTTTGGCCTCCTCGGGAACCGAGTAGTGCAGCTGGCCGCTCCCCGCCTCCCAGGCTGCGAGGAGCAGAAGCGAGAGCAGCAGGCGCTGAGCTCCAAGATCTTCTCGCCAGGAAAACACCATTGCAATGTTTTCCAAAGGTATGGTCGCTCTTACATCGACTCAAAATTAAAAAAATAATTTGAGTTCCTTACTCCTCATTTCTTAAACTCCTTACCGCTGCCGAATTTCAGAGGTAATGAAGAAAAGCATTATGTGAATACGCAATACATGCAAGCTGCATAGCTTTTGTGTAGAAAGAACTTGTGGTGGACAGCGACATCATGTGGCTAAATGTGTAAGTATTTAATGTGTTTACCTTTATATGTACTTTGAACTTCCCAAAATTTGTATTTTCACCTGTAATTTCCTTTGAATAATCATCAAAGTGTTTGCATTTTACCTTAATATGTCTCTATACATTTTATCATTTTAAATTATTCCAATTCATGACATACAATAAAACACTGGTTTTGATTACTATTTTAACAGTGGACATCTGTTGGAAATGCTTCCCATGTGACGAGCACTGTTCGGTTTGTCCTAAATGGAATCATCCAATTAAATTTTTACAGCAATCCTCTCAGGATTGGTTTTAACATAATTCACTTTCTAAAAGTATCTTGTGATTAAGTAACTTTAAAATGACTTTAATTGGTTCTGTCTGGGTGGAATCTCAATCTGATTCAAGATATCATACCTTTAATCACTTGGCCTCCCAAACTATGCTTTGTTGAAAAATCAGAATGGTTGAGATCTATGACCCCCCAGGACATCAAGACATTGAAGTATGTGTAAAATGTGTGTATAGAAACAAATATATATAAATAAATATATTTTTTATATTTGAACCTTACAAAATAGGTTCACTTATTAATTTATAGAATCCATAAATCATTCTTATGTCCTTTATTAAGGACTATATCCTTGTTAACTGTCTTAACTGTTATTTATATTGAAAAGTGAGATATTTCTCCCTCCCCACCACCGTGTGTGTGTGTGTGTGTGTGTGTGTGTGTGTGTGTGTGTGTGTGTGCTGTTGCAGATTGAACACAGGGCCTTAAATATCTCAGCAAGTATTGTACTACTGAGCTGCATTCCCAGTCCAGAGTCAAACTTTTACAAGGAAGTTATTTTGTAAACTTGGTTCCTGTCAAGGACAGCACTGCTTGATCTGGATATTTGTTATACATTGCACCAAGTCAGAGCATATTAGTTTACTTAAACTTCCACACCATTTATGCATTTCAATTTCCCTGTATATTCTAAAATGTTCACAAGATGAAACAATTATATTTGCAATGATCTCCACTCTGAGTGAATTTCTGGATTACAGTTGCTTGAAAGGTTATTACTTGAAAGAATCAGTGATGATTCTTTTCTTAACTAAAAGTTAACTTGGAACATGAGTCACTAGGCAATATATGTAAGACTAGGTTATGAAGTAGTCTAAAGATTTCTGTGAATCCAGTGACAGGCATACGTCCTCTGAGCTTTTGGAAGTTGAGCAAGAAAATTCATATGGAAATGTCAGATTTAGAGAATCAGGGAAGAATGTCCACATTTTTGTTTATAGCCAGACCATTTTTAAGTGAAATTCAACACGTGATTTAACTATTAAAAGAATAAGTTTTCAAACAAATTTTTGTCTCCTGTGTTTCATTGAATGGAAGCCAGGATTACTTGCTCATATTTTGTCACCTCTACTTAGAATAAATGGTCAATGTTATAATGAGTAAATTAATATTTTAAATTGTTTTCAAATAAAATAAGTATATAGTTGTATTAACTGTATTTGTTAATATCAGATTTCTATAACTTCTCATGATTCTATTTTGCCAGCTCATGAAAAAGATGTAATGAAACAGTCAAGATTTTTTTCTGTGTAGGAGATTGAACCCAGGGTCTTGCCCACATATGCTAGGCAAGCACTCTTCCACTGAAGAATTATTTCTGAAAGGCATAGATCTAGGAAATAATACAAATGTTAATATGCCGGTTAGTACTTTGATGTATCTTGAAAGGCTGAAGCTAGTTTGAAAACGAGAAACGAAATTTAAAGATCATAGACTTAATGAACTGCCTTTGACAAACTATACCTTTTGTTATATTTGAGTTATACCTATTGCAAGATGGAATGCCACATGGGAATTTATAACAGAGTAGGTTCTGGTATCAGGACACAAAGATAGCATTAAAGGAACAATGGTTTAGAAATTTGGGCCAGTGTGTGGGTAATGTATCACTGAATAGTTTCTACTATTACCTAGACATCTCCTTAGGCAACTTAATCAAAAAATGTAAACAAGAATAAGAAAGCAGTAAGAATTTATTGGGCAATAGGTTGTGGGTCTTGGAAATCTGAGAACATCTGAATATAATATGAAAAGCTTGTCATTTACCTATAGTAGAAACATAGTGGCCAGGCATCCAGAAGGACAGATTCCACCTGATCACTCATTCTGCATCCTAGTCTCAAGGAGCTGGTGCTATGCCACTCTAGATAAGATGACTCCTCCCATGAAAAAGCTACTTCCTCATTTCTTCAAGCCATTTTTTTCTCTGTAAAGCCTTGGGTGAACTTTCCTGATTCTCAGAAAATATATATTTTGCATTTTGAGGTTATCAACTCTGAGGAGTTAATAGGTTTCTGCAGGAATAGACTATGCTTAAGTTGAGTTCAAGATTTACCCACCAAACCCCCAACTTGTTTAAAAGCAGATCCCAGACGAAAATCCACAGTCTGACCTAACTGAAATGACTGAGGCTAAGATCGCTTAGTGAAGGTTATTTCTGTAATTCACCAATGTGCACATGTATCTGGGAAAAAAACAACAAAATCTAAGAACTAAAAGGTAGAGACAGTTTTAGACAGTTATTTCACCCACAACATATCTTCCTTTGGTTGAAAAACCTGAAAAAATCTTTTTCAACTATAACATTTACTAGTCAAGTTCAATGTTTTATTTACCCAATACAAGAGTTTCCATTGAAAATGTAGTTATCCAATACCAGGCCTTACCTTCTGGAAATACTTTCATTTCATTTGGAATATGGATGTTACCACATGAAACTGAGTGAGCTCACAGTGGTGGGAAATATAATCCCAGGCACCAAGTGAGGTACCAGAGGAAGCGGTCAGTCTTGCACAGTGGGAGGTATGCATGCATTACCTAATGATACTGACACTGGTAGGATGGCTGATCAACTGTTAACATAAAAACTAGGTTAGAATATTTTCCACTTGTACAAAGAAAAAGTTTCAGTGCTTGTCCACATTCAATGTGATTTTTAAATGTTAAAAATAAAGAACTATAAAATGCTGAAGAAAGAGATTGAGGAAGACTATAGAAAGTGGAGAGATCTCCTATGCTCATGGATTGGTAGAATCAACATAGTAAAAATGTCGATACTACCAAAAGTAATCTACATGTTTAATGCAGTTCCCATCAAAATTCCAATGACATTCATTAAAGAGATTGAAAAATCTATCGTGAAATTTATATGGAAACACAAGAGGCCACGAATAGCCAAGGCAATACTCAGTCAAAAGAACAATGCTGGAGGTATCACGATACCTGACTTCAAACTATATTACAAAGCAATAACAATAAAAACAGCATGGTACTGGCACAAAAACAGACATGAAGACCAGTGGAACAGAATAGAGGACCCAGATATGAAGCCACATAACTATAACCAACTTGTCTTTGACAAAGGCGCTAAAAATATACGATGGAGAAAAAGCAGCCTCTTCTACAAAAACTGCTGGGAAAACTGTTTAGCAGTCTGCAAAAAACTGAAACTAGATCCATGTATATCACCCTATACCAATATTAACTCAAAATGGATCAAGGATCTTAATATCAGACCACAAACTCTAAACATACAGGAAAGAGTAGGAAATACTCTGGAATTAGGAGGTATAGGTAAGAACTTTCTCAATGGAACCCCAGCAGCATGGCAACTAAGAGATAGCATAGATAAACAGGACTTCATAAAACTAAAAAGCTTCTGCTCAACAAAAGAAATGGTCTCTAAACTGAAGAGAACACCCACAGAGTGGGAGAAAATATTTGCCAACTACACATCAGACAAAGGACTGATAACCAGAATATATAGGGAACTTAAAAAACTAAATTCTCCCAAAACTAATGAACCAATAAAGAAATGGGCAAGTGCACTAAACAGAACTTTCTCAAAAGAAGAAATTCAAATGGCCAAAAAACACATGAAAAAATGCTCACCATCTCTAGCAATAAAGGAAATGCAAATTAAAACCACACTAAGATTCCACCTCACCCCTGTTAGAATAGCCCTCATTAGAAACACCACGAACAACAGGTGTTGGCGAGGATGCAGGGAAAAAGGAACCCTCATACACTGTTGGTGGGAATGTAAACTAGTACAACCACTCCGGAAAAAAATTTGGAGGCTACTTAAAAAGCTAAACATTGATCTACCATTTGATCCAGCAATACCACTCTTGGGCATATACCCAAAAGATTGTGACACAGGTTACTCCAGAGGCACCTGCACACCCATGTTTATTGCAGCACTATTCACAATAGCCAAGTTATGGAAACAGCCAAGATGCCCCACCACTGAAGAATGGATCAAGAAAATGTGGTCTCTATACACAATGGAATTTTATGCAGCCATGAAGAAGAACGAAATGTTATCATTCGCTGGTAAATGGATGGAATTGGAGAACATCATTCTGAGTGAGGTTAGCCTGGCCCAAAAGACCAAAAATCATATGTTCTCCCTCATATGTAGACATTTGATCAAGGGCAAACACAACAAGGGGAATGGACTTTGATCACAAGATAAAAGCGAGAGCACACAAGGGAGGGGTGAGGATAAGTAAGACACCTAAAAAATTAGTTAGCATTTGTTGCCCTCAACGCAGAGAAACTAAAGCAGATGCCTTAAAGCAACTGAGGCCAATAGGAGAAGGGGACCAGGAACTAGAGAAAAGGTTAGATCAAGAAGAATTAACCTAGAAGGTAACACACATGCACAGGAAATTAATGTGAGTCAACACCCTGTATAGCTATCCTTATCTCAACTAGCAAATACCCTTGTTCCTTCCTATTATTGTCCAATCTTAAGGGCAAAATAGTTTCTGCCAGCTACTGAGGAGGAGAGTGAGGGGGCGGAGTGGGTAGTAAGGGAGGGGGGTGGGGGCAGGGGGGAGAAATGACCCAAGCCTTGTATGCACATATGAATAATAAAAAAATTAAGAATGACTCTTTTCTCAGTGAAACTTCTATGTTACCTAAAAATTCAAAGATTTTGCTGCTGTGAAATCTTTATCCCAAACACAAGACTATTTCACTTTTAAAAAAGAAACCTGAGATTAGCAACTATTCGTAGGTGTTGCCATGTGTTTTATGGAGCAATGGTAGATACTTTTGGGAGCCTTGGCATTAAAGGATCCATTCAGGCTAAATTCAAATAAGAGGAAAGCAACCAAACTTACTAACAAATACATCCTCGATCCAAAGAGCAAGCTAAAAAATGTGCTAAACAAGTAATATACTCTTATTCTAAATTTATTCTGATAGAATGGATAGATACTACAAGTTGAAAATATATGTTATATAACCAAATGCTTTACATTTCTCCAATTTCGAATTTTTTGTTTTAAGAGAGAAAAATATTTATAGATAATGTGAAATTATTTAATTTGCTGAAGTGTTTTTCAAACCTTCAAGTTCCTATTACTCAGGGAGTGATTTAATCATGAAAAGGCCAAAATGCAAAAAGAAGATTTAAGAAAATTGTTCTAATGCAATTAACTGATTCTGATTCACACTCAGCGTTGCATGTTAGGGCAATGATATTAAAAGCAGAGCTATAAGTCTAATTAACAGACATCATAAGGAATAAAGAAAAAGAAAATTCTAGAACTGGCAAGAAAAGAAAAAAGACCCACCTTTCCTAGATATTCTGATTCTGAGGGCTGTTGTCTTTCTTCTATGGAGTCTGGACCCTGAGGTAGGCTAGGACTAAATGCCATGAGGTCAGTCTTCGGTGGCACCTCTGCAGAGCACACCCTATGCCGCCTCTGCTGTGAGTACGACCAGCTCCCCACCGCGCTGGAGCACACCAGCATGGGCTTCCCAGGCCCGCACATGCTCCCAGAAGGCGCCGCTGAGCAACGCAGAGCTGTGTACAGCAGCAACGTGAGCACCAGCAGACTGGACACCGCGCAGATGGCGATGATCAGGTACACGTTGACATTCACCAGCGCAGCCTCAGAGCTGGAAGCTCCAAATGAAGTTCGCAAGACTTTTGGCTCATGGCTGCTGTCCACCAGAGACACCAGCACAGTGGCTGTGGCCATCAGCGCCGGCTCGCCATGGTCCTTCACCAGAACCAGTAGGCATTGGCGCGGCGCATCAGCCTCGTCGAGGGCGCGCGTCGTGCTGATCTCGCCCGTGTACAGCCCCACGCGGAACGGGCTGCGCGCACCACCCGCCGCCGGCTGCAGCTCATAAGACAGCCACGCGTTGTAGCCAGAGTCCGCGTCCACCGCGCGCACCTTCGCCACCACGTGGCCCGCGCCCACTGACCGCGACACCAGCTCGCTCACCGCGCCGCCCACAGCAGGCCCCAGCAGCGCGGGCGCATTGTCGTTCTCATCCAGCACGAACACCTGCAGCGTCACGTTGCTGCCCAGGGGCGGCACGCCAGCGTCGCGCGCGCTCACCTGGAACTGCAGCAGCTCCAGCTCCTCGTGGTCCAGCGGCTGCAGCGCGTACACCTTGCCGCTCTCCGCGTGCACCGACACGTAGCTCGACAGCGCGCGCTCGCCCACCCGCCGCTCCACCAGCGAGTAGGACACCAGCGCGTTCTCCTGCGCGTCCACGTCCCGCGCCGACACCGTGAAGATGTGCGAACCCGGCGTGTTGTTCTCCTTCACGAACACCGTGTACTCGGGCTGCGCGAACGCAGGCGCGTTGTCGTTCACGTCGGCCACCTCCACGGACACGCTGGCCGTGGCCCACAGCGAGGGCGAGCCCCCGTCCCGCGCGGTCACCACCACCTTATAGTCAGATATGGTCTCTCGGTCCAGGGCGCCGTCAAGGACCAGGGAATAGTAATTCTTGAAAGTGGACACCAGTTTGAAGGGGACATGGGCTGTTAACGTGCAGGTCACCTGTCCATTGGTACCTGAGTCACGGTCTGACACTGTGATAAGAGCGATGACAGTGCCCAGCGTAGCATCCTCTTTTATAGGAAGCGAGAGAGACATTATTGAAACTTTTGGTGTATTATCGTTGATATCCACAAGTTTTACTGAAACTTTACAGTGTCCCGACATTGATGGAATTCCTTTGTCAAATGCAACGACCTGAATATCATAGGATTTCGTTTCTTCATAATCTAATTTCCCCTTAGTCTTGATTTCCCCTAAGGTGGGGTCTATTTTGAACTTTGTCTGAATAGCGGAGGTCACATCACTACTGAATGAATACACAATCTCGCTGTTTGATCCTTCATCTGCATCGGAAGCATTTAATTTAAGCACTAAAGTTCCGTTTGCAGTGTTCTCTAGCAACTGCACTTTGTAAACTGATTGGGCAAAAGTAGGTTCATTGTCATTTATATCTAATACCTTAATAAGTATTTGAACGCTGCCGGTGAGCTCAGGTTTGCCCCCATCAGTAGCTACCAGTAACAAATTAATCTCGGCTCTTTCCTCTCTGTCCAGAGATTTCCCCAGCACGAGAAACAAAGATTGGCTTAGCTCATCATTTATCTCTATGTCTAGAAAGAAAAACTCACTAGGGCTGAGTTTGTAGGACAGAAGAGCATTTACTCCAATGTCAGCATCAGATGCTCCCTCTAAAGGAAATCTTGAGTCAATCAGCCTGGATTCAGGAAACCGGAGTGTCTTTACTATAATTGGAAACGCAGGCGGATTGTCATTAATGTCCTTCACCTCCACCTCCACATGGAAAACCTGCAGCGGCCTGTCCACGATCACCTCCAGGTGGATGCTGCACTCCGCGCTCTGCCCGCACAGCTCCTCCCGGTCGATCCGAGAATTCACAAACAAAATGCCATTCTGCAGATTTACCTCCAGAAGGTCCCCGCAGTCCTTGGTCGCCACCCGGAACAGGCGCGGCACCAGCTCCGCCAGCTCCAGTCCCAGGTCCTGCGCAATGCGGCCCACGAAGGTGCCGTGTTTGGCCTCCTCGGGGACCGAATAGTGCAGCTGGCCGCTCCCCGCCTCCCAGGCTGCGAGGAGCAGAAGCGAGAGCAGCAAACACTTCCGGACTTCTCGGCCTCTTCTCAGAGAAGACACCATTACTAATCCTCCGTGAGTTGATCAAATTAAAGGATCGTGTTTAACAAAAAATAAATAAATATTCTAGTTCCTGTTCAAGTCCTGCTTCTTCTCTCTGCTTCCCCTATGGTTCTGCTCATCTGGAGTAACAAAGGGGCTTTAGGTGTTTCCCTTGCTAGAAAACAGTCTCTGGTAGACAGCGACACCATGTGGCTGAAATGTAGTTTCTACTTCACCATGTTGACCACGTTTAAATGTATTTTGTTCCATAGCGTTGAGAATAGTCACATTGTGATGAATTTTTCAGCCTGTAAAACTGAACTTCTGTATCTATTAGACAATAATTTCCCATTCCTGTGCCTTGCCCATTGTAGCCACCACTCTACTTTCTGTTTCTGTAAGTTTCACCATTTCAGATAATTCCTATAAGTGAAATCACACAGTATTTGGTTTTTTGTGATTGGCTTATTCGGCTTAGGCTAATGTCCTGAAGGCTCAAGAATGTTGTAGCAGTGACAGGATTTCGTTTTTAGGGCTAATTAAGTTTCTATTTTGTGACCACGGTATATTTTGTATAACCATCCAGCCATTCATGGTTTAGGTTGCTTCCACTTCTTGGCTTCTGTAAATAGTGCGGGTACCAACACAGGTGTGCAAATATCTCTTGGAGACTATGCTTTCAATACGTTGAGATATATTCACATTTTTACTGTTTCTTCAAAGCAAGCACATAAGAATCAAAGTGCATTTTAATCAGTTGAAACTGATATTTTTATATAAATATAAAAATATTTATATATTAAATATAAAAATATTTATATATTTTGCTGCTATTTTATAATTTAATTTTGATTTTTGAAATGTTTTCAGATGCTTGAAAATTAATAATGTATTAGTTTCTCACTTGGATAGCATGTTATTAATTTAGGAATATTCTCTTTTCAATTACATTTGAATTTTTATCCCAGAACCATACCACTGGTCTCTTTTAGTGTTAATTATTTGAGACTGTCTTCTTTTATTCTTAGCTGACTCCTTCACATGTAAAAATATGAAAATAGAATAAAGATAACATAAAGATGAAACAAAATGAATCGCAGAATAGGTCAATGCACAAAATGTATAATAAAGGCTTATTTTCAGTTATTCTATGTATATGATGAATTTTCTTTTTAACTTCCTAGGAAAAGAAGAGAACAAAATTGCAAAATTTACAGAGTTCATTTTTTTTTTGTGGTACTGGGGATTGAACTCAGGGCCTGGCACTTACTATGCAGGCAATCTACCACTTGAGCTACAACTCCAGCTCTTACAGAGTTCATTTTAAAAAGCAAAGAAAACCTAGCTTTTCCTGGTGCTGAAACCCAATAAAAATTTCCCCTAGAATTCAGTATCATAAAGTATTTATTCACATTATCTATGAAAGTATATATTTATATTATAATCATACTCTAACAATGAATCCCAAGTAATCTGACTTGAGAAGAACCAAGGCTTCATATGTTGGCTTTTACATGGAAATGGGTAATTATTTGCTGACTTTAGGCAGAGATGGGTTTATACCCCCAAATAATATGATAAGGAAAATAACTATATTTACACTTTCTTTCCCTCTGTTGAACTTCTCAGACAGATTTTTCCCATATAATGGAAAAATAGTCAAAGTAGCTTTTAGGCTACATGTTACCACTTTAGTGCCTTTCAGTGTAAAGTTTCCTTTACTCAGTGGTGCCAGCAAAAAGTCCTAGGTATACCTTCCCATGGCCCAGTTTAAATGATGTATGTTTCCTTCAGAAAATGCTTATGATGGTTTCTCCATTGGCCATACTTGGGTCACTTGTTCATTGCTGAAATCAGGAGATAAAACCAGGTCTGTCTAAATTATACACACTGAAATGGGGGAGTTTGGCTCTTATGGAGGCCAAGGCACTGAGCCAAATTCTGTTGGAGCTTACACTGCTTACACATAGCTTCAGGCTATTCATTAGAGCATCACATATTTGCAATACAATTGTATATGTTTGATACCCAGAAATTTTTACATAATCAGTGACCAACATATTGACTACTGTGGACACATGACAAAATTAATATCCAGAATCCAGATGTTAGCATCAAGAACCATGACTGCTTGAGACAATTTTTGAATTTGCATAAGGTAATTATGTTGGATTTTGAGAATGAGCTGTGGGAGAATAAGACATATTTTGAGCTTCTGAGGGCCTAGAATATCTCTCTCCCTCCTCTAGAGAACTAGAGTAACATTGCAAGATACGCAAGCACATTTCCTCCAAAGGGGAAAAGAGACAGAGAAGCCATACTCAGCAAATAACACCAACCCTCCTTGACATCTCTTGATATCTACAGTGAGTTGAATAGTATTTATACCCAGATCATCAGAATGTGACCTTGTTTATAATAAAGACTTTTACATACATAATTAAAGTGATGATATTAATATGATATCACCCTAGATTAAGGTTGGTCATAAATCCAATGATGACTTTCTCTTAGACAGAAAAAGAGAAGATACATAGTGACACAAACAAGATGTGAATACGGACACAAAATGTGAGTTATGCTGCCACAAGTCAAGTAATGCCAAGAGCCACCAGAATTTTCTCCTTGAGTATTGAAAGGGAATGTGGCCCAGCCAACGCCTTGATTTTGGACTTTTGGTCTCTAGAACTGTGAGAGAATAATTTTCTGTTGTTTCAAGTCACCAAGGTTTGGAAATTTGTTATAGCAGGCAAAGGAAATTTATACAGTATGCACTGTTAAAACTGTACTTTTTGCATCTACCAAAGTAAACATAACTTCTATGAGTCTAATCATTCATTCTTGGAAAACCTGCCTACTGTTTTCCAAAACAACTACAAAAACCCAGAAGAAAAAAGAAACAAGAAGGGAGGAATGGATGCTAAGCAAGAAAAAAAAAAGGAGAGGTACCTATGACATTTTAAACTTCACTTTACTGCTTTTCTTATATTACCTTTCATATGTAAGAAAAAGTAATCACAACAATAGTTGCCTCCCACCATGAAATCCAAGTTACCTAATCTGCTTAATAGTCAGATACATTGACTAAAATGTTACTAATAATGTTCCTTTATCAGTTAAATTACTTACTTTGACACTCTTCAAATTTATTCTTTTTTACATTCTAATGGCAGTGGAACCCCAATGAAAATATTACTTTGAATTCACTACTTTATTTTCCTCTACAATGTAAATACAATTTTATTTCTGGTTCCTGCAAAGTTCTGCAGTTATGAGATACTTTGTATAACAGCTTTTCTCTGCATGTTAGTTCAACACCCCAGATTTCATTGACCTTATGTCATCTCCGTATCAATTTGTGCTTCCGTAATTGCTGCAACAGTAAACGATAGCAGAAGAGAGTCTTGCATTGACTGTAATATAAGTCTACTTGAAAATTACACATATTCACATTTCACTGGCCAAAGAAAAATCACATAACTATGATATGGAAAAGTAGTAGGGAATTGAAATCCTCCAGTGTTCCCAAAAGGAGGAAAATAGAAATGTGGCTAGTGGCTACCAAAATAAACAATTATTTCTCATTCTTATCTATTTGTATTTTTGACTGACTAGTAGTCTCAAAGGTGCCTCAATGATACCTTGTTTTTCTAATTATTTATTTTTATATCAGAACATAGAAGTACAATTCTAGTCTTTAAACTGAAGTTTTTTAAAAAATAACAAATGTTGGAGAGGATGTAGGGAAAAAGGAACCTTTACACACTACTGGTGGAAATGTAAATTAGGGCAGCCACTATGGAAATCAGTATGGAGGTTCTTCAGAAAACTAAAAATAGGCTTGGTACAGTGGTTCATACCTGTAGTACCAGCTACTCCAGAGGCAGAGATCAGAAAGATCAAAGTTTGAAGCCAGCCCTGGCAAAAAAAAGTTAGCGAGACCCCACCTCAACAACAGCAACAAAAAGCTGGGTGTAGTGGCACACATCTGTCATCCCAGCTACTCCGGAAGCATAAATAGAAGGATCAGGATCCAGGCTGGATTCAAGCAAAAGATCCTATCTCAAAAAAGAACCAAAAGCAAAAAGGATTTGAAGGTGTAGCTCAAGTAGTAGAGCACTATTGAAGTTATGTTATCCACACAAAGATTCTGAATAGGGCAACAATATTAGCTACCAATAGGAAATCCACTCATATTTACGTTAAAATAAAGACTAAGTAACAATACCACTCCACATTCATCTCCAAGTTAATGCTTCCAACTAACTCAGGAAACTTTTAGCCTTTACACCAATCTTATACCACAGAAATAACTGTCTCCTTATTTTTAGATAATGTATTAATATAAAACTTTTTTCACAGTGATCCAAATGCAGCTGTATGAAGGTTAGTCTAGTAGGATTATCAAAAGATGCTCAATTCTATCAATAGTCTTATTGTTGCCCTCTCATTGAAGCACTATGAATTACTTTTTTAACCTTTATAAATTCTTTATTAAAAGGAGTTGCATAATTGTAGCTTTCAATGCCAACCTCTAACTCAAGCTCTCCTGCTTAATAAAAAAAAATTTATGTTTATCCTTTACTGCTACTTGTGATTTTCAATTTGGCCTCAAAACATACTTCCTTACATGCCTCTCAATTATTTGATCATTTTAATTGCCCTTTTTAGGGCATTTTGTAATTGCTAGATCTTGCATTTCTCTTGAGGTTGGGTAATGAAAATTACAGTTTCCCGAGTACTGTTTGCAAAAAGAGGGAATGGTCTACTTTGTTATCTGCTTCTGTTTCCAGAAAACTTGCTAATAACAGTCAGCATTTTATTGAGTATTGGTCACAAATGAGATTCTCTTTTATGCACACTTTGATTTGACAAAGAAAACTGCAAAATGAACATTCCACCAAATCCAAACCTTTGTATAACTTTATTGTTCTTTCAAATAGGTTAGAATGTTGTCCCCTTGGAGAAGGCACGCTGGCACACTGCTATAATCCTAGCAACATGGGAGACATAGGTAGGAGGATCATAGTCTGAGGTCAGACCCAGGGCAAAAAGTATGAGACTCAATCTGGAAGATAACTAAAGCAAAAAAGGACCGGAAGTGTGACAAAAATGGTGGAGCAAGGCCCTGAGTTCAATGCCCTGTACCACCACCATCACCACTACCAAAAAATAATAATGCTGTCCCCTTTGAAGCCAGGAAACTTTGACTATTTTGATTCATTGTTGCTGTATCCCTGGAGTTCTATGGCAGGGCTTATGATATGTTAGGCTCTCAGTAAGTGCTTGTTGAGTAAATAATAAATAACTATTGAATGTTTCACTAGAGACAATGTCCAGGCAATACTAAGCCTGGATATCAATATTGTTAACAAATATGAGTTGGGAAAAACTCTTTGTGATTTCCAAGTCTATGATTTCCAATTATATAATCCTGCAAAGCTTATCTCATATAGAGAGGAACTTGGAAGTTTTCTTGGTATCAAGATCTTTCCATGACTTTCAATGACTGGGTAAGTTACAAAAATATGCTTTCAACCTACTTCTTACAATGCTATAAGCAACAACTGTGTATCAGCTCAAATTTCTGGAAACTTAACTACCAAATTATTTTAATTTATTATAAGAATGTTTTCACAAGGGACTTTTCTTTTTTTTTTTCTTTTTTCTTTTATTATTCATATGTGCATACAAGGCTTGGTTCATTTCTCCCCCCTGCCCCCACCCCCTCCCTTACCACCCACTCCGCCCCCTCCCTCTCCCCCCCCCTCAATACCCAGCAGAAACTATTTTGCCCTTATTTCTAATTTTGTTGTAGAGAGAGTATAAGCAATAACAGAAAGGAACAAGGGTTTTTGCTGGTTGAGATAAGGATAGCTATACAGGGCATTGACTCACATTGATTTCCTGTGCGTGGGTGTTACCTTCTAGGTTAATTCTTTTTGATCTAACCTTTTCTCTAGTACCCGTTCCCCTTTTCCTATTGGCCTCAGTTGCTTTAAGGTATCTGCTTTAGTTTCTCTGCGTTAAGGGCAACAAATGCTAGCTAGTTTTTTAGGTGTCTTACCTATCCTCACCCCTCCCTTGTGTGCTCTTGCTTTTATCATGTGCTCATAGTCCAATCCCCACAAGGGACTTTTCTACATGTTTATTTGAATGCTTGGTGAGCAAAGATATATCCAATTAATACTTGTGTCACTTTAGGATCAGACATAGGAAATAAAATGTAACATTTTGCTCTTGACTGACTAGCAAATTCAGTGAGGCCTATATAAACTTTGTGTCATTTAGCTTTGTAAAGCTGATACAAAAATATTGTTTAGTGTATTTCTCAAGTACATTATTCAACATAATGACTAATAATTCCTTAATTGTATATCAGGAAGAGTATTTTTCCTTTTCCAAATAACTAGTATACAGAGTTTCCTTTTGTTATTATTTTTCCAATTTCTATATTTGCTTCCAGAGAGATGACTATTAGGACTTACACCTTATCTAGGATATATTTTTGAAAATATAACTCACACCTTTCTCTTGATCTTTTTTCCCTGAGTCAATAACTCACTATGTAGCCCAGTCAGATCCTTCTGCCTCAGCCTCCCAAGTAATGGAATTACAGGCTTTGGACACCACACCCTGCTTCTCTTGTCTTATACTTTGACTTTTAAGCATAATGCTTAAAATTTCTCCCATTGTTAAGTCCCCTTAAATATTAAAATATAGGCAATGACCTGTATTAGAACAAACAAGATTTTTTTCTTATATCTTTGGGAAATTTGAAGAAAACCTAGCAATCACAATGAACTTGGTTTTGTTGAGCTTCAGCACATTTATCCATATACTGAAACTGAAGTTTCACCTCAGAAAGTCATTGGAAGGATGGTAATAAAATATTTGTGTGTCAATGGAAGGTGCTCGGTCTCCTAAATGACAAGTTCATGCAATATTAAGTCTTCTAGATCCAGGGGAATGGCATCAGGAAATTTTCTATAATGACAATGAAATGGTTGTATATTTTAACACAGAAACTAAAAATGTCACCCAAAACTATATTTTAAACTGCCCACTTTGAAACTTAAAAGGAAGCCAGAGGTGGTTTCTGCAACTTTGCCTACAATTATTTGTGCAAGTCTTGACATTTCACTATAGTGAAATAAAGTAATAAGGAAACCTGAAAATATCACTGTTTGACCTGTTGGGATCCTGTGTTAAATATGATCAACAATGCCTAGCATTTGTAAGATCCTGGGCTCCATCCAGTACCACCAAAAGAGGTGGGGGGGAATCAATAACAAACAGTTCAGAAGTATTTTTAAGAGTATCAAGGAATATAAATGATTTCCCTACATGTTTTTGTTTCAAGATGTAACTGCAATTAATAAAATATCTACATTAAATGCTAAGATGTGTTTAAATGTTAGTGGACACCCTGAATACATTTTAAAAGTGATGTTTCAGTCAGGTGGCAGTGGCTCACACCTGTTGCTTGGGAGTCTGAGATCTAGAGGATGTCGTCGGTTGGAGGCCAGCCAAGGACCCCATCTCCAAAAAGGCCATGCAAAATGGACTGGAAGTGTGGCTTAAGCGGTAGAGCGCCTAAGCTCAAACTGCAGTCCCACCAATAAATAAATAAAGTAACATTCCTAAGGATGGTTAGATGAAATAAGCCTACAAACAGAAAGAAATGTAAAGCAAAGCTCGAATTTGAACTTACATTGCCGGAGAGATCCGAATTTACTTGTGGATGTTCATTGCTTTCCGAAGTGTTCAAACCTGGAGCTAGACCCGGGCTAAAGGCCATAAGGTCAGTCTTGGGTGGCACCTCCCCAGAGCACACCCTCTGCCTCCTCTGCTGCGAGTACGACCAGCTCCCCACCGCGCTGGAGCACACCAGCATGGGCTTCCCAGGCCCGCACATGCTCCCGGTGGGCGCCGCTGAGCAACGCAGCGCTGTGTACAGCAGCAACGTGAGCACCAGCAGACTGGACACAGCGCAGATGGCAATGATCAGGTACACATTGACATCCACCAGAGCTGCCTCCTGGGCCACTGAACCCGCCAGTGACGGCGAAGAGGCTTTTGGTGCTTGACCACTGTCCACCAGAGACACCAGCACAGTGGCGGTGGCCATCAGCGCTGGCTCGCCATGGTCCTTCACCAACACCAACAAGCGTTGGCGCGACGCGTCAGCCTCGTCCAGGGCGCGCGTCGTGCTGATCTCGCCCGTGTACAGCCCCACGCGGAACGGGCTGCGCGCACCACCCGCCGCCGGCTGCAGCTCATAAGACAGCCACGCGTTGTAGCCAGAGTCCGCGTCCACCGCGCGCACCTTCGCCACCACGTGGCCCGCGCCCACTGACCGCGACACCAGCTCGCTCACCGCGCCGCCCACAGCAGGCCCCAGCAGCGCGGGCGCATTGTCGTTCTCATCCAGCACGAACACCTGCAGCGTCACGTTGCTGCCCAGGGGCGGCACGCCAGCGTCGCGCGCGCTCACCTGGAACTGCAGCAGCTCCAGCTCCTCGTGGTTCAGCGGCTGCAGCGCGTACACCTTGCCGCTCTCCGCGTGCACCGACACGTAGCTCGACAGCGCGCGCTCGCCCACCCGCCGCTCCACCAGCGAGTAGGACACCAGCGCGTTCTCCTGCGCGTCCACGTCCCGCGCCGACACCGTGAAGATGTGCGAACCCGGCGCGTTGTTCTCCTTCACGAACACCGTGTACTCGGGCTGCGCGAACGCAGGCGCGTTGTCGTTCACGTCGGCCACCTCCACGGACACGCTGGCCGTGGCCCACAGCGAGGGCGAGCCCCCGTCCCGCGCGGTCACCACCACCTTATAGTCAGATATGGTCTCTCGGTCTAAGGCGCCGTCAAGGACCAGGGAATAGTAATTCTTGAAAGTGGACACCAGCTTGAAGGGAACATTAGGGGTCAAGGAGCAGGACACCTGCCCATTGACACCTGAGTCGAGGTCAGACACCACAATGAGACCAATAACGGTACTAAGTGGAGCATCCTCTCTGATGGGCAAAGACAATGAAGTGATCACCACTTTGGGAGTATTATCATTTACGTCCAGTACCTTTACCAAAACCTTGCAGTGATTTGACATCGGAGGACTTCCCTTATCAACTGCCTTTACCTGAATTTCATAGGATTTTGTTTCTTCATAATCCAAATTACCAATTACTCTAATTTCTCCTGAGTTGGAATCAATTTTGAATTTTTCTGGAATGTTAGGAGAAACATCATTGCCAAAGGAAAAGACAACTTCACCGTTTATACCTTCATCAGTGTCAGAGGCGTTTAACATCGTCACTAATGTTCCGTTTGCTGTACTCTCTAATAAGTGGACTCTGTACACGGCCTGGTCAAACAGAGGAGCATTATCATTAACATCGAGTACAGTGATCAGCAGCTGAACCGTACCTTTCAGTGCTGGTTTGCCTCCGTCAGTAGCTGTCAATAATAAATGAAGTTCTGGTGTTTCTTCTCTATCCAAAGATTTCCTCAGTTCAAGAGACAGAGATTTACTCAGTTCATCACTTGCCTGTACATCCAAAGAAAAGTAATCACTGGGACTCAGAGTGTAAGTTAGAAGAGCATTAACACCAATGTCTCGGTCAGCAGCTCCCTCTATAGGAAAACGCGAATCCAGTTGTCTGTTTTCAGGAATAAACATCCTTTGTTCTCGGCCTCTGAAGACCGGCGGGTTGTCGTTAATGTCCTTCACCTCCACCTCCACATGGAAAACCTGCAGCGGCCTGTCCACGATCACCTCCAGGTGGATGCTGCACTCCGTGCTCCGCCCGCACAGCTCCTCCCGGTCGATCCGAGAATTCACAAACAAAATGCCATTCTGCAGATTTACCTCCAGAAGGTCCCCGTGGTCCTTGGTCGCCACCCGGAACAGGCGCGGCACCAGCTCCGCCAGCTCCAGTCCCAGGTCCTGCGCGATGCGGCCCACGAAGGTGCCGTGTTTGGCCTCCTCGGGAACCGAGTAGTGCAGCTGGCCGCTCCCCGCCTCCCAGGCTGCGAGGAGCAGAAGCGAGAGCAGCAGGCGCTGGGCTCTAGGGCCTCCTCTCCTGGCAAACAGCATCGCAAAAGCAATGCACCTTTCTTACCGCGCTCACCTTATTCTAAAAGCATACTTTTTAACTTCGTCATTTCGATCATTTTCTCCATACCATTTTCGTCTTCTGTCGGGTGGTGACGAAATGAAGCTTCCTCCTTTAGTTTTTAGTGGTCAGTACCTCATTTCCATTGCATGGACTTTGTGGTGTACAGCGACATCGTGTGGTTAATGCGAATTTTAGATCCATTCGTTGATCTCTTAAAATATTCTCTGCATTCATTTCCATTTTACTCAATGTGATCATTTTATGTCCTTTAAAAACCCAGGACATTCCACATCTCATTTCAGAGTATGTAATTTAGTATTTTCCTTTAGCAATTATCACAAAGATATTACAGTTGGATTTGAGAAAATTCAGGATATTTTTGGCCTCTCATACACCATTGTATAAAAACAATTTATCAGCTCAAATATTTTTATTGTTAAATACTTGTAACTTTATGCTGAAGTTTTAGCATAATTCACATAATAAAACCACAAAAGTTTGTCTTATTCTAACACAGATTGGGCATTTACTTAGATTTATAAATATTCAGAGGCTAAGTATAGACTATTTTCCTTGAATACATTTTAAATGTCTTCATTGTTGTAGGAACAACTTCATCATTTTCTTATAAGATAAATGTTCAAATAAAGATTTTTAAGGGCTTTCCCTTGATGCTTGTTATATAACATAATAACCTAAGTTCTGAACTCAAAACTTTTGACTTCCAAAAGTCACTGTTCCAAATTGAATTTTTTATATTTGTTCCTATCACAAATTTTCAGCCATATCTTCCTCCTTATTAAGATCAAACATTGTTATATCTCAACAAAAATAATGATATTGCATCACTGTCAAGTGCAAATGCCAAATCTTATAATAGTCCACAGTCAAGATGAAAAATGTAAAGACAGAGAAAAGATTAAATTTTTATAGAAAATTATTTGAGAATAACCTATCAATAAACTCCTTCAACTTTAGTCCAATTCATAATCAGAATTACATAGTGGCACTGGTGTGACTAAAAATTAGGTCAGAATAAACTTTCAGAAGTTATTTTTTAAAGAATGGACTTAATGTTTCTATTTAAATACTAAGAATATTTAAGGATACTAATATGAATAAGAATGTCTTTATTATTAGAAACCCCAAATCCTTATTTTACAATTAGAATATACACAAAACTATGTTATTTTTAAAGATCAGAATATATTTTAATCATAGTTCAATGCAATTACTTTATTAGACAGGTATAGCAATATAAGAGACATGAATATCCTCTTGCTCCAAAAGTAAAACAAAGCTAGAAGTTAGAAATATCCTAAATATCAGTAGATTTAGACAATGCTGTCAATATTTGAATGCTGAAAGCATTTTAATGTGTTATAAATTTTAGGACCTGAAAAATGATGTAGTAATGAGTTCCATGAGTTTTCTTTCTATTTATTCCAAGCTTAAATCTAAAGAAGCCAGTAACCTAGAAACATAATTGGATACAGATGAGAAAAGCTAAAAATAATATTTTTGTCTCTAAACAAAGTATCAGGGAAGGGGATGCCTAGCAATACAAAAACTCTTAGCTACTACAGAAAAAAATGGCTCCATATTGGCAAAGGTTTTGTGGGGAAACTGTATTTATACTCTTGCAAAGCAGTAACAAGGTACTCCAAGATTCCTGTCAAAGTGACACCAGAGAAGGCCAAATATGGAGCTAGGACTTTCATTCCTTTCATCCAATACCCTGTAGATCATGTGGGTAGCTTAGACTCCCCCTTGCCTCTGCTTGGGTGAGGTCAGAGGAGGTCTAGGGTACAGCCAAGACTTTCACCATGTGATTTTTTTAAAAAGCCATCCCCACCACAGTGTCAGTGGAGGACACATGTAGAGCCATAATTTCCACCTCAACTACCAGAGCAGAGGGCATTCCATTCAGATTTTGGTGGAGACCTATGGGGAAATGGGCATCTACCTCTATGTGGTTATAATGAAGCAGTGCCCAACCTACCTCTCTGACAGAGTGGTGCCAGAAGCAGCCAAGTAAAATCCAGAATTTAGAACATGATATAAAAACGTTCAAGTTTCAACAATAAAAACCACTCATCATATCATCAAATAGGAAGATAAATAACTGAGTTTTTAAAAAATGTATAGTATTCTCTTCTTATCTCACCATGGCTTCAGGTACCCATGGTCAACAGCAACAGAGAAACATTCAATGAGAAATTGCAGAAATAAACTATCCATAAGTGTTAAACTGTTACCATTTTGAGTAGCATGATGAAATCTTGTGCCATATTACTCCATTTTGACTGAAATACAAATCATTCCTCTCTCCAACATATTCATGCTATAATTGCTACCCACCCACTGGTCACTTAGTAACTATCTCAGTTATCAGTTTGACTGTTTCAGTATTGCAGTGCTTGTGTTTGAGAAGCCTTTATTTTACTTAAGAATGGCCCCAAAGTGCAAGAGTAGGAACCCAGAGCATAAGACAGTGGTAGAGCATTTGTTTAGCATGTGTGAAGCCCTGGGTTCTATGCCCCACTCTCTAAAATAAATGTACATGAATAATGCTGATGACAATTCAGAAATACCAAAGAGAATCCATAAGATGCTTTCTTTTAGTGAAAAGGTGAAGGTTCTCAACCTAATGAAAGAAAAAAATTGCATACAAAAAAGACCACATTCATACAACTTTTACTATGGTAAGTTGCTATAATTTTATTTTATTATTAGTTTTAGTCCATCTCTTACTGTATCTAATTTATAAATTAAACTTTAACATAGCTGTGTTTGTGTAAGAAAAAGCATAACACATATAGCGTTCAGTACTATTCAGAGTTTCAGGTATCCATTTTGTTTGGAACATATCCCCTATGGTAAAGAGGGACAGCTGTATGAGATGACAGCTTTTAGAATTCTCTGACAAAGTCTTCTGAGATTTTCTATTTCATTGCCAAGGCTTCCTATTTTTTATTCAGGCACATTTGCAATTAGAATATAAAGCTTCAGAAAAGAAAGTTTCAATAATGAAATAGATAGCAAAGAACTAACAGAAAGTTTAGAATAGAAAAATACAATAACTGAAATAAAATCCTAGTAGAAGGATGGGGTGGTCAACTTCTGAAAATAAAAGACAAAGAAAACAACCTGTGAACAACAGGAGGGAAGACACCTTACCTACACATAGGAAAAACTATTCTTATTACAGTGAATATCCCATGAGAACTCTGACAGATGGAAAGAAGTATCACAATATTTTTAAAATTCTGAAGGAAAAGAAGTGTCACACAGAAGAGCAGATCCAGTGAGAGTATCTTTCCCAAATGAAAGGGAAATCAAGAAATCTTTATATGAGTGAAAAGATAATTTGTCGCTAGCAGGTCTACACTAAACGAATCACAAAAGTTTCTCAAAACAGAAAGGAAGCTGGGTGCCAGTGGCACATACCTGTAATCCTAGCTACTCAGGAGGCAGAGATCAGGAGGATCAAGGTTTGAAGACAGCCCAGGAAAACAGTTTCCAAGACCCTATCTCAAAAAAGAACCCTTCACCAAAAAAGGGCTGGTGGAGTGGCTCAAGGTGTAGGCCTGAGTTCAAACCCCAGTTCCATAAAAAAAGAAAACCATAAAACTAGGTATCTTGGAAGATCAAGAAAGAAGAAAGAACATAGTAAGTGTAAATATGAGTAGATACAACAGCATTTTCTTCTCTTGAATTTTCTCAATTATGCTCAATAGTTGAAGCTAAAATGCTAACATTGTTGTACATGGTTTTAAATGAAAATAGAGAACATATATAAGACAATAGAAGGGTGGAGAGATGTATGTGAGTTAAGTATTCTAAATTTAACTTGAACTGGTAAAATGATGACATCACTTCATACCCACATCAGCAGTAGACTGACAAGATATATACATAACGTAATACTTAGAGCAACCAATAAAAAGCTATACAAAAAGTTAAACTTAAAGAGAATATAGGTAAATCAAGCCAGGTGCAATGGCTCAAAGCTGCAATCCTAGCTACTTGGAAGGAAGAGATTGGGAGGATCATGGTTCAAGGCCAACTTGGGGGGAAAAGTTTTGCAAGACCCAATCTCAACCAATAAAAGCTTGGCATGGTGGTGTGCACCTATGTGGGTAAGAACAAATAGGATCATGAGCATAAAGTAAGACCCTATCTGAAAAATAACTAAAGAAAATAGGGGTGGCAACATAGTTCAAGTGATATAGTGCCTGCCTAGAAATCTCAAGGCCCTAGGGAGTTCATCCTCCAGTACACCAAAAAAAAATTACTATAGGTAAATCAAAATAGAATTCCAAATCAAAATATATTCATGTAACCTACAAGAAGGCAGGGAAAAGAAAACAAATGAAATAACAAAAATTTAAATAAAATGACATATGTAAGCCAAAATATATCAATTACATTAAATGAAAATGGTGTACCACTAAAATAGATTGACAAAATGGGTTTAAAGTACAACCCAGACAGGTGTAGTAGTACATGCCTTCTGAGACAGGACGATCACTAGTTTGAGGTGATCCTGGGCTGCATAGTGAGTTCCAGGACAGCCTGGGCTACATAGCAAAATGAAAACAAAAGGCTAGGTGCAGTGGCTCACATCTATAATACCAGCTACTAAGGAGGTGGAAATCAGAAGGATTGTAGTTTAAGGTCAGCAGGGGCAAAAAGTTAGTGAAACTGCATTTCAACAAACAAGCATGGAATGGTGCTTCACACCTGTAATCCAGGTGGGAGGAATAGGTAGGAGAATTGTAGTCACTGGCCAGCACTGGCCAAAAAAAAAAAATAGGACTCCATCTGAAAAATAACCTAAAATCAAAAACAGGAAGATATGGCTCAAGTGGTGGAATACTTCCCCAGCCAGCAAGCGCAATTCCATGAGTTCAAACTCCAGTACTGCCCCAAAAATAAAAAAAAGTAACAAAAACATGATTTAATCATATGCTATCTATACAACTATAATAATATAAGGAGATTGAAATTAAAAGATAAAAAATACATCATAATCAGGTGTGGTGACATATGCCTATAACCCTAGCACTTGGAAGGTGAAAGCTTCCAGCACGGGCTACAAAGTCAGACCCTGTCTCAAAAGAGA